CAAAACGGGTAACGAGCCTTAAAGTACCCCCAGCAAGACACCAGATAGCATGGGATATTGAAACATGTCCACCCCATGCTGGCCAGCGCTGTGACTCCTTCGCCAAACCAGCCGCGTGACCGGCACCCAAAACAACATCGCCCAACAAGCACCGCCAGGAACCACCAAGCACTTTGAGCACTGAGCACACCAAACAGACCAGCACCTGCAACAGCCAGGAACTGTCACTGCACTGAAAAGTACCCAGGCACCGCTTATTTGGGCTTGGGGTTGTGTTTGACATTTTGAGAGACGCACGATTTGTTCTTCTTGATGGTGTTTACATATATATATATATATATATGTATGTACGTATGTATAAGTCAGTGGCTTTCAACATCTGTTTGCTATCAACACCAGCTTGCAAAGAACCTAAAGCAAGCAATCATAGAACCAGGAACACGACATTCTACCGGACATTGGCCAAACACCCTCCAAAAAGACAGATTCCTGTTTAATTTTGCTGGTTGGCTTCTTGGCAGCGAGGGTGTCCCTTTGCTTCACAGACCCCACATTCCGTGCACAAACCAAAGCGACGAGTTCGGCCGCTCGATTCGGCCGTGCTGATGCTGAGGTTCTGGAAGGACACCTTGAAGAAGGCAGCAACTTCAGCGGTTCCCAGGTTTATCCGCAGGGATGGTCTCATTTTTTTTTTTCGAAGCCCTTGGATGTTTGTGAGGGAAACCGAGGGAAGCCTAGCCTAAAGGTGTTCCGTAAGACTTTGAGACACACCCAAGTGGGGGGGGGAATTGATCCAAGCCGCGGGGTTTCTTTACGTTCCATGCGAAGATATCTTTGATCCATGGGGGTGGGAGGGGAGGAGGGGGAGGAGGGGGAGGAGGGGGAGGAGGGGGAGGAGGGGGAGGAGGGGGAGGAGGTGTAGACTGATGGGGTCAGTTGTGAGGAATGATCAGTGCAGCGGCGCGCCTTTCTTGGAGCCGCCAGGCGAAAAAACAGTCTGCGCAAGTCAAGCTCGATCTGCTGGATGAATCCCAGTCATCCATGTGAACTCATGTGAAGATCGATCCGTCGATCCACTGTATGATGTGGGAGCATTCCTAAGCCAAGATGTGGGAGTTGAACCTGCCATCTGTAGCTGGGTGTTTGGTCCAAAAGTCTGGACATGAAGGAACCCCAGAAGGCCGGGTCCAAAGTGGTCTGGGTATCTTTGACCTTGAACTTTTGGGGGGAGAAAGGCGGAGGTCGCACCTGGCAGCTGAACGTTTTTTGCCAGGATGACTCGCCTTTCATCAGCTTCGCCAGGTGCGACAGTCCTACCGCAAGGCTATGGAGGCGCCAGGGCACCCAGCTCATCCATCTGCGAGGGCACCTCCCTCGTTTCTGGTAGCTTCTAACATTTTTTTTTCTTAACTGCCATTTATTTTTTTTTTTTTTTAGGGGGGGGGAGGGAAAACTGTTTTTTGAACTGCCATTTTGTTTTGGGGCGGGCCCAAAAAACAGACACACCCGACCTCCTTGTTTGGAGGTTTTGAAGGGAAACCAAAGGAGAACACGCCCTTTTTTTGGGTTCCCTCAACAAGCAACATACACACCCACCTGGTGTGCGAAATTGAATTACAGACCCTTTGATGGACATCAGAATTCGGTGAGGATTCATGTCCACCAACCACTTGAGGGAGTTGTCCAATCAAGCAAATCAAGTTATTCTTTTGCCACAAGAACACATAATGTTTGGCTCTCCCCTACAATGGGGTACCCCAGAACCAATGCAGGGCTGTCTTTGTAAATCACCCCGGAGAGACTTTTTGGAAACAACCGGCCTTTGCATTTAACCTGAAGGTTGTCATCCCTTTTGGCCAGGGGTGGAGCAAGAAAGCCTTTTTCCGGGTTGCTTGAAAAGGCCCCTCCCCATCGGCTTCCTTTGTTTGGAGCCAAACCAGCGCATTGGGTTTGGTGGCCCTGAGCCACATCTGGTTCTCAGTTTCATGTTTTCGTTTGGTTTTAACGTGCCCCACAATCCGAGTTGAGGACCTTGTAGTACCGCCGCTTGGGATCTCCAAACATTTCTGAATTGTTTAAACCATAGTTTTACATGATCCACATCTGGGGCACCAAACAATATCTGTCTGATCTACCCATTATTAATCGTTAAATCCACGCCCCATTTTCAATCTACCCATTTCTTTGTTTAATGCACCCAAACAATATATGTTTAATCAACAATTCAAATAAAGCATCGTTTTGAAGGAGGCAACACCAGTTCAGTTCAAAACTCCCATCAGAACTCCCGCGGCTCTACAAGTTGAATGCCCATGGACCGAATCCTAGCGAGTGACAGACGAGCCAAGCAGCACATCCCCTCGCGGTATGTAAGATATGTGCCATGGTCAAAACTCTTTATGTCGCCTATGGTCGTTGTTCCTCAGTAGGAATCATTACAATGGTGAGGTAAGGATACTTGCTGCCAGGTGGATGACCATCCCTGTTAACCCCAAGTAAAGGGGTCTTTTGACCATGGCACATGTGGGTGGGGCTGTTTTGAGGTTGGACCCCCTCCCCCCCCACATGGCCCCCAACAGCGTACCGTCAGAAACAGAATATGTGTGTCCAGCAGATTGAGGGTCCAGTCAAGGGCCCATGTCACATTTCCCGCACTGTCATTTCTAGTTGAAGCCTCCAAACTGGGCCTCCAAACTGGCCCAATGTTCCTGCAAGCTCCTTGCGCCGATGCACCATGTGCTGGTTTCCGCGACCTTCAGGTTCACCAACATGCCTGTGACTACTTGGCTTTTTACGGGCCAGCATCTATCTAGCAGCCCTTTTCCGTCGACATTCTTGCTTTTGCGTGGATGTTTCAGCCGCACCCCGAAACTTACCTGCGCCCCCATTCAAAGCCCCCGTTTGCACGAAGAAAATGTGAATGGCTTGCTTGGCCGCCCCCGCCGGAGGCTTAGGTTGGCACCATTCGCCGGCTGAAACCCTTGGGGCATTGACTGGACCTCATCTACTGTTTTCTCGCTGAATTCTACTTGGCCCAAATCAGGGGTACAGATTGTGATGCCTATAGTTATAACATATGTTTTGAGGAGACCCCAGTATCTTTCATGGACCCAGAGAGGAAACCCATGTGGAAGGAAACTGGCAAGCCCAACATCGCACACCAAAGCGATCGGAATAGCGAGGTCGCGATGAATCGTTTGCCCGGACATGCAGCACGCATTGTCGCAAGAACATCTAACCTTTGAAGAGCCAAGAAGCTCATGTCTTGCACCCGAGGTTCCACATCCCGAACCTTCTGCAGGGCCGCAGTCCCGGTTTGGTAAGGGTAAGGGGAACTTGGATGTGTCAGGGTACATTTTGATGACCCTTCCACAGACATGGTGAATTTGAATGGGTCCGGGCTGTTTGGTGGACATTCGAAGTCGGTGGGGGAGTTTTGGAGCTGGTTCCTAACAATTCGTCGCATGGAGCCTCAAAATCCAGGGATTTTCGTTTCAGGTCCCCCATCTTTTTTGGAGGGTATTTTAAGGACGTGGTCCCTTCGATGGGAATCAACCACCCCGGGGCTTAAGTCTGCCTCATTGAAAAGCACAAGCTGGTTGAAGAATGTGGGTTTGTCTTCAAAGGGCGTACCCCCAGAAGTGGGCTCCTGCCCCTTGTGGGTCCCTCACTCCTTTCCACTCCAAACGGTCCTCCAGTCTAATCCGAGGTCAACATTATGACAATGACTGGGCTGCTCAAGAGTAATCCTTAGTCCTTACCTTGGCTTACGCTAAGGGTTCTTTCTTTGTGGTTTCCCTACATGCATTACCCTCCTTTGTTTTTGAGGGGCGAACAACGACGCCAAGATATTGACATATCTCTACATATATATATATATAATGTATACACTGATTGAAAAGCCGTGCAGGTGGTTGAGCCCCCAGAAATTTGTTGTTTCAAGTTGGTTTCCTTGCAAGAGGGGCCGATGCGTCCCCAACCATGTTGACGTTCAACCGGTTCGACGTTCGAATAGTGAAGGCTCCAGCTTGCACCGAAGGACAGTTCGCAGCATCCTGGAGCCTTGCTAGAACCCATTTTCACAGGTTGGTTTCAAGATGGTTTGGCACAAATCGCCAATGTGTCAATTTTGGGTTGTGTCAACACCCTTCCAAAAGGTTGCGTTCCAAGTTGGTTTCCTTGCGTTCCAACATGGGGCAACTAGTTTTGACACCTGGCCAACTGGCTCGCCACAGTCTTGGGGTCCCTTTCCCTTGTTGGCGGTTTTGAACATCGGGCCCCTTGCAAGCGGGTTTTCCTGGGACCGGGCGGGAGGGGTTAGGGGGTTGGAGGGGAGGCATCCACCCAACTCACTCTAACTGGGCGTGCTTTTTGTTGAGGCTGGCCTTTTTATGGTCCTTTTCTCGCGGGAACGAAATAGGTTCTGATTTTGAGACGCACCCTTTTGATCTGCATCCTTTCGATCTATTTCAAGAGGTCAAAGAGTTCCTTCAGAGAGCTCCGTGGAGCCGCGGCACGGACGCGGCAATTTTTGCGGAACCCGTGGTTTCTTTTTCCCCAAAATGCCCATTGGTTCAGCAAGCTTTTCGCAGAGCCCGTCTGGATTTGCCTTTGGATTCGGACTCATGGTGATAGAAGATTGGGGTCCCAACTTCTGTGATTGCTTAAGGGCTTCTCCAAAATATCATTCATTCCGTAGCCATTCCTCGATTATCAGATGGTGGATGGACAAAATTCTGCACCAGTTGGTAGGTGATTCCCAGTACAAGGCTTCATTTGTCCATGGTGCAGGAGTTCGTCCATTCACAGTATCATACTTCCGTTTGCTTAAGAGCATTTCTTATTTTCCTCGATTGGTTTTAAAGGGAATCTATCACTACTGGGAATATTCGTTGTTTTTTGTTTTTTTCTTGGGGGCTTAAGCAAATGGAAGCACAGCAAAGGCCCCAGGGCCCTTTTTTGAAGTCCTCCGCTTCGCGGCAATTCTTTCTTCGCCCTGCAGCCCATTTTTGCCGAGCTCAGCCCTTTGGCCGCCGGCTAATAAGTTGCGCGGCGCGTGCAGCCGTCGGCAAATCTCATTGAGGCGGGACGTTTGCTGGGCTTCACTCGTTGCGGGGGGGGGGGGGGGATCTGGTTGCTGCCCAGATGAACGTGGAACCCAGAAAGAGGTGCTTCGCAAGGAGATGCATGAAATGCAGTTCAGGTTCCATGCGAATTTGGGGCATTATTGAACTAGAACCCACAAGTAGGTCAAGTCCCATGGCCATTCAAGTGCCAGGCTAGATGCGGGGGGGGGGGGGGGGGGGGGCAGCAACACTCAGCTAGTCAGGCACCTGAAGTGCTCAAGCTGATTCTTCATGGGGGCGGAATCAAAAAGTCGAACCTCTTAGCCTGAACGGAAAACAAGACTGGAGGCCAAATAAGGCCTGAGCTGTTCGGGGACTAAGATCTTGAGGGCAGGCTTTCCCGTGGGGATCCTCTTCCAGAGCGGATCCCATTCCATGAACCAAAAGGGAAGCCAAGGGCTGCCCAGCATGGCTTCACGGTGTGTCTTTGAACTTTTAGTTGGATATGGGGGTTGCATGTTCCGTGAGTTTCTTGTTTTTGGGGACCCCCCTTCTGCCTTGTTCAAGCGCGAACTTACGTTTGCAACTCTTCTTTGTTGTGGTGTTTTCGTCGGCTGGAGCCGGCATGCAAGTCCCAACTTTGGCGTTCATCGTGTTCAATCTCGTCCTTCCTTCAAGGGTGAGAAGTAATTCGGGAACAGCGACACTTTGACCTTTTCAATTTCGCGCTGTTGTTTTGTTGCGCTGGCTGGAGCTTTCCGGTCCAACATTTTTGTTTATCGCCACGCGCCCGCAGGCGCCATGTCGATGCAGAGCAGGGGGGCTCAGCGTCCCTTTCGGGGGCTCTTCTTTGAGTAGAAGTGGGTGCGCCTTTTTGCGAGGAGACTGCACCCTGTTTGTTTGGTTCAAAGGGAAACCAGGAAAGCCACCAGATTTGGGCTCCCATCTTTGAAGACAGATTCCCAAATGAGGCCTTGGCGTCGGTTTGTTCACGGGGAAGAACTCCCCGAACGAGCAGAAGCAGAGGAACCCTAAGGAGTGACACATGAGGGTGTTTGAGATCCCACGTTCGCTTGCGGAGTATGTGCGCCTGGGCACGTGCCACAAAGGGGACTTACAACCATAGTAGGTGGTGTATAACGAGGGTTACTTACTTTCAGAGAAAGCAACTGTTCGGTGGTTCTTTGAATGTTACATTCGCTTGGTGGTCTTTTGCCTCTGCTCCTGTCTTTCTTCTGCCGATGCTGCTCCCCAGGCCATGTTAGTTGGTGGGAGGGTATGTGGCTGTGTACCCACCCCAACAAACAATCTATTTCACAGCTGGTTTGCCTTAAAACACCACAAACGAAACATCACAAACGGGTGGAAGCACAAGGCTTTCGGTGACGCACCCGGACCTCGGTTGCATTGTGAGGGCTTGGCCATTGTCGCATGAGAGTTCTCGGCCCGGCTTTTCTTCCCTGTGACTCCATGGTTGCTTGGCCTGGACATGTCAGTTTTGGGTACCAAGGCGGCAGCTTCAGATTCTTGAACCTCATCAAGCCGGTGATGTGCGTCCTGCCGGAAGTCGAGGCCCCCGACCGCCGCGGCCTCAAACGGCCGAGGGCTTGAGGGCCGGACCGGACTGGACCAGACACCTGGAACCAAATCGAAGCGAAGCACTGGACCAATTCCAAGGGACGGTTTTCTTGGGGTGCCACGTTCTGAGCAACTCGGTGGTTTCAAATCAAAGCGCCTCCTTTGAGGCTGGCCCCTTGAAGACTAGAGACTGTTTTCTGATGTTTGTTGCGGCTCATTTCAAAGGAAAGCCAAAGGGACACCACCCATTTTTGGGGGTCCCCTATTGCAGGGCGCACCGATGTCAACAAAAATGCTCCCACAAAGGTGCCCCCTGCTCCACCAGCCACCAGCACGTCATTTTTTCCCTTAAGAGGACCACTGGTCGAAGGCAAGATCCTTTTGTGAATCCTTGTCACCGAGGAGTGAGGACCAAGTTGGGGCTCTGTGTTGCTCTTTGGCTTGCCATTCGGGAACGCTTTGGGAAGACAATTCAAGTGGTACACGTGCCAACAGTTCATAGTTTTGTGGGGAAGCCCGCTCAAGAAAAGAGTCTCAGCTTTTGAGCTTGTGAAACATGGCGCTTACCCGGTTTGTCCATCAACGAGTCAACGTTTTACATTTGCTATTTTGGAGTGATTGGTTTGCCCTCAAGCAAAGCTTGTAGCCTGAGCCAGCGCCGAGGCCGCATTCCTTTCAAGGAGAAGATTTTGTGGTCGCCTCGGGGTCCCAAGGGATTTCTCTTTCGCGCCTGGTATTGTGGGCAAAAAGATGTGGTCGACCAGATTGGGTAGGGGTGTCTCTTTGTGAGGCTTGGTACCCTTTGGTGCTTTTCGGGCAGTTGTCAGTTTTAAAGGGGGGGTGTCTCGCTTTTTCGGCCACCCGCTTTTTGAGTTTTTTTTTGGGCGTAAGAACCAAACGGACACCGAGGCTTGTTGAACGTGGGCCCCTGGTTGTCTTGGTTTGGACCACTTTCGCGGCCAACATGGCCAAATGGGGCGTCTTTCTTTCTCCATGACAATCCACTCAGGTGGCTCAAGTGAGCTGCGTCAAAAAGCCCTAGGGAGGGTGGGCCTGTTCCGAACCTGCTCAAAGGCGTGCCACCTTTCCACGTCTGGGTCACGGCTTGGGCTATTTCGCAAGGGAGCACCGAACGACCAGGGGGGATTTCCTGGTTTTCCCTTGAGGGGTGTGATAGATTGGGTGTGTATAGATTGGCCCCAAGCGATTCTTCCTTTCAGGCTGCTCTCCCTGAACATCTTAGGTGGTGCCAGGCCCTAATTGCGCAGCGCCTCATGCTGTTTAGGCTATTATGGGGGCCATGAATCTTCAAGGCCTCAGAAGGATCCTTTTGGGTCGGAAAAATGGGCACATGTGTTGAATTCAGGGACGCGCTTTTTCCATGTTTTGGTTGGCATATTTCCAAGAGGGCCTCTTAAGACGGACAGGTTCCAAGTTTCGAGGCGCTAACCCCACTCCCCCCCTCATGGAGCGCCCGAGCAGGTCGGGCCGAATTGCTTCCGCAGCAAATCGCGGGGGTTGTGTCGTGAGGGTTTCTTTTGAGCTGATGAAGCAATCCGGAAGCTGTCTTTGAACCGATCGGTTCCTGATTCATTCGCAAGCTGGGCAAATGGAATCATCACGACGGAATTCACATCACTCGGGGGCGCGACGGATGTCACCCAAAGGCGGGACTCGGTGCCGAAATCTTCTGGGTCTCTTGTATTCGGTTAGTAAACTATAAAACAAGTTTGCCCAGGTGGATCCCTTCCATTTCCTGAAAGGGACTCGGTCCAAAGACAAAGCCATCTGTTTGGTCCTGTTTACTTGGCATCCGAGCATTTTGATTAACATGGGCCGTTCTGGGGTTGGATACCTTTTCCTGAGAACCATCGGGGGTCAAAAGATCTGAGGTGGACCTCCATCTCCCTCTTCGTCTTCCTAGTGTGCTGCCAGATCCCCCTCTACGGCGTGCTGACTTCGAAGAGCTCCTCTGGCCGCAAGAAAACCCACTCGAGGAGTCCCGGGGCCGGTGCTTGGCCCTGGCGAACTCAGCCAAAGAGGAAGGGTCCCAATCATTCGGCTGAAGTTTTTTTTTTTTTCACGGCTGAAGGTTCTTTTTTTTGGTGAAGTTCTCAGCAAAGTCCTTCTTGACTTGTAGGAAGAGGCGACTGTGGACTTTTTTTTGGGTTGTGGTTGATCACTCGCGGTTTATCCCCCACGTCTGTGAATTGTAAGGGAATCTCCCCCTTGAAAAATGGGCGGTTAGTCTTCGGGGAGCCCTTTTGGTTGTATCACAGAAGTGGTCATTTCCCGCAGCCCTGGGAAGAAGGGTCCCCAGCCGGCTGAAGGTCTTTTTGGTCAAGTTCTCGGCAAACTCCTTGACTTGTAGGAACAGGCGCCGGGCGACTTTTTCTTCTTCGGCTTTGTGTGCCATTTGGTTTTTGCGTTCCCAGGTAAGCCCACCAAAACAAGAGGACCTCCTTGGGCCCACCGTGGAACCCGGCCTCGCGCACCTCGCGGATCGCCCCCGAGGCTCGGATCCCTTCTACTGGATGCGCGTGATCTTGGCGTCCAACCGGGGCACCCTCATGGAGCAGCGGCCTCGGGGTGGTGTTTTTTTTTGTCGTTCTTGGAAGTTGGGGCGGAGCGGTCGGGGCGATTTTTTGTGCACAGAACAGATGGGACGGTTCTCATTCAATGGCTTTCGGACCCCTTTTGGTTGGCTTTTTGAAGGGATACCAAAAAAGGTGAACCTCGGGTTTTTGAAGGGCCCCTTGTCATTTTAGGTGACCCCTATGTCGAGAAAAGCCCACCTGTGTAATGTTAACCCCAGATTAGTGCACCCCGGGCCCTCATCGGCAGGGTGTATCAATCTGGGGTTCCCTTATAAGAGCCCCCTGAAGGGGATTTGAGACAAGAGCTGTGAAGGTTCCTATTGAGGAAACCATTACCACGACCATGACCCACAGAAGGTGAGGTGAACCCTACCATTCCATCCCAATGGGGGAAATCAACAATGCAAGCGAGGGGATAACCGCCCCAGTCGAGAAGGCTTAAGTCGCCAGGGGTTGATTCCCCATTCTTTTCAAACATCGTTCTTTCCAAGCACCTGCCGTTTTCCCTGGGTTTTGGGAGGTTTGGCAAGAAGGATCCCTGGAAAGAATGGAAATGGAAGGTACCCCTAAAAAGTCGGCAGATTTCTTTTGGGCCTACGGCCTGAACTTGCCTTGGGGGATCCACGCTCCTCTCAACGCCCACAGGAGACTTGACCTCCTTCGCAGGTCTTGCTTGGGCGCCCCCCAAAACGAGCGTGTCCTGTTGCCATATTGGGAGGCGTATATGGTCAGAATGGCTTGATGGGGCCCAAATCTTAGTAATTCTTTACGGCCTCATGAATCATGGTAATCCTAAAGGATATGTGGTATCTCCTTTTATGCTTTACGGCCAACCTTTAAATCCAAATGACCTCATGGTATCATTTTCTAATTTTTCAGGTGAAGCGATTCTCAACGGACCAAAGGGGACACGCCGGAATCGGCCGGAGCGCGCCCTTTGGAAGGCTGGGTATCTCCCCCATCATCACCTCCGGCATGGCCCGGGGTCTCATTTTTTTTCCGCGCCCTGGGCACGGGGAGCCGCGCGGAACTCTGAGGTGTTTTGCTTTTTGCCCCCGCTGGGTCCCAAAAGGCGATGACATGGGTGTAGTAGATTAGATCACCCCAACGATTTGTGCGTTTCTTTCGGCCAAAACAAAATGGGTCAAGGGGTTCGCCAAAGCCCTCGACGGTTTATCGGGAAGTATGAAAGGATCGGTCTGTGCAACTTAACACATTCGATCGAACGGTGAGGTGATCGGCGTGCGACCAAAATTACAAGATGAAGGTTCCTTTCTTGGAGATGTTTTTACGATTCTGGTGATTCTGGAGTGTGAATTGTAATACTTTATCGACGGCTTCTCCCCTTGAAGGGGTTGTCCTCCTGAGGATGTTCTTGGATCTCCCCAGAAGTGATTCAAACTGATTCCAGTTCAAGGTATGCTTCAGGGCTTTTCCAAAGAACAGGGCTGTCCTTTTGTCAGATGACTTGGGAAAATGAAGGGGGTAGCCCGCCCTAAACACCTCTATTGCCTGGGAGCCAACTAGCCAACATGTTCCATTTTCTCCGTTTTCCTGTTTTCCCAAACAGCAACCAAAAGGCAATGCTTTTGCGATGCTTCTTCTCATCCCCTATTTGGCACCTATCGATCATGATATTCCAGCTTTAGTTGTTTGGCATTCTCAGTTTTCAATACATTGATCATGCCCCCCCCCGCCCCTTCCCCCCACAATTCTGATAGGGCCTAGCAGCGTCTTATTTTGCGTAAGTAGGCCTCATTGGATCCATGACCGGCTCCCGTTTTGGCATACAAATACCCCCGGCCGGCTGGAGGATCCTTTGCCCCCATTGAGCCTCCCAACTTGGATCGGTTCTTGGCCCGACGGTCGTCCATTCCGGGGTTTGTGCACTGGAGGTTGGCAGGATAAGTGTGGGTTTGTTTGCTTTATCTTGAGGGTAACCTCTTGTGGAGTTCACCCAAAATGCGTAGCCCTATTTTGACACAGAACCGTATGGACGATCTATTTGAGTTGGGGGCAACAGCGTTTAACATGTTTAAGCAGCTATGGCTTAAACTGCCTCCTCTGTTCGTTTTCCTTGGAAGGGGACCAGGGGCAGTTGAAACGACAGGCGAGACGCGTCCAACGAAACTCCTCGGCAGGTGATGCAGCTGCTGGCGGGCAGCAGGACGAGAAGCAAAGGGCAGGGCTCCATTTGCGCCACAGGGTTGCCGCTGTATTTCCCTCGAGGGGTGGGTGGTTTTGAAGATCACGTTGTGGGTGGGCTGCGGGAAATGACCACTTCTGTGCTACAACAAAAAGGGCTCCCCAAAGACCAACCCCCCCCCCCCCCCCATTTTTCAAGGGGAGGTTCCCAAAAGTATCACAGAAGTGATTGGAGAAACCCCGAGTGATCAACCACAACCCTGCCCTCGAAGGGTGCTTTTGAGTTTTGAAGATCACGTTTTGGCTCAAAGGAGAAGATTCTGGGAACCCTGACAAGCACCCTGTTACCTTGGGGTTGGGAAGAACGGTTTTGGACTTGATGGGTTTTGAGCATGGCACATTTGGGACCTTTTCATTTTGGCCGTCTTTGCCTATTTCATGCGTGATAAAGAGGTCACCGATTCGGTGGTAAAAGGGCTCACTCGTGAAGATCCTTCACTGGGGGATCCAACTCTTATTTCAGAACTCTGGAGTTGTATCTAAGAAACTTTGAGGAACTTCTCCAGGAAATTCGACCCACAAACACCCATGGATTTGGGTTCTAACTTCCATTTGCTGGAGATGCTTTCTTTAGAATTTCCAGCTTCTTCTTTGCAGAAGAGGACTCCAAAAGCCGTTGGCAGATTCGAATCCCCATCGAGATTGGACGCCGGCTTGGGGTTCCATCTCGATTTGGGGAGCTCGAAGAAATCTCTTGTGTCGCAACGCTGGGGGAAATGGAAGAGCCTTCCGAGCCGCGCATTTCACAGGGCATGTGGATCTGTCATCTTCCGGGGTCCCTGTATGGCTTCTTTTGAGACTGCCCTGTTAAAGGGAAGCCACCAGGAAAAACGCAGTTTTTTTGGGATCCCCCAATTTTGACGAGCCATATTCATACTTTCCCCTTGAAGGTGTGTATACATATATATATATATATATAGACATATGCTCCCCCCCCATGATCTACCTTTCTACCTTTGCACATCTTCCATGTTTGGCAAATCTGCTCATTTGCCAGCATCCAGTACCTTTACACATTGGCTCCACTGCTCAGTTGCTACTATCCACTACCTTTCCACATGCCTTTTAAGTGGCAATTACTTGAAATCCTGTCTGGAAAGGAATTCCTACTTTAATTCTCAATCAACATAGACGTCAACTGTAATTATGTCCTTCTGCAATTCTATCACACTTCTAATGAAATGATTATTCGAATCTTATTAGAAGGGATTCAAATTTAAGTTCTCATTGAGCCAGTAAATATATTTGAGGAGTTCCCTTGCTAAAGTCCATCCGTGGAGACGACGTTTTATTTGAATTCTGACTGGGGATAGAAGTCTAATGGCACTCTTTCCTTACTCAAATCTATGCATATTCTACTAGCTAAAGCTAATTTCACATCATATGTGGAGAGAAATTCCCTTTAAGTTCTCATTCAACATAGAAAAACCAAACTATATTCAAGTTCGGATTGAAATTCAATTAAACTCCATATTGGTGTAAGGTGCCTTATATGGAGCCTTGACGGGAGCTTTATGAGGAGCTTTGCCAGGAGCTGCATAAGGAGCCTTATGATCAGCTTTACACTGGAAATTTGCGACCGATTTCACCCATGAAGGTTCCTTGTTATGTGTTCAAGGGGGACTGCACAATATGGTTGCTTTTGGGTTCCTTTTGGTTACCCACTTCGAACCAACCCCCAAAAAAGGTAGCCTCAAACAACACACACACACAACTATTTCTCATTTTCAGGCTGGCACAATCTAACTCGCCCAGACTGAGGCAGGCCACAAAGCAAGTGGCGCGAATTTGTTGATTGAAGGGAGATCCGTGGAAGTGGCGGTGGACATAACTCCCCGCATAAATCATGCTCACCGAAGCGACCCCAATCAAGACCAACACCTTTTTTTGTGGGAGACAGGTGACAGTCTTACTCGTTGGGTTAGCAAGCTTCAAATGTTGGTTACACGATACGTTACTTTCATGGTTTTAGCCAAGAGTCAAACAGTTTGACCTCCAAGGTCCCTGCAAAGGAAGAAAGGTCTTCCAAGGGCCGGTCAGAATCCATGTTGGTTGGTGGATGCTTTTTGAGTTTGCTTTGGGAAGCTACAAGGAAACCGGAGGTTCCAAGTCCCACTCTTGTCAAACTCATTCTACACTTTAGACAAGCTCATTTGAGTATGGGTCAAACACATTGGATTGCAGGTTTTCATTCCTCGGCTCCATTTAGGGTTGCCCCATCTTTCTGACCCACGGCTATTGCCAGGATCATTGATGTGGACCAGACCTTGAAGGAGGACCGAGCGCTCTTCCACGGCGCGCAGAAGCTGTGTCTCGGCGAACCGGCCAACCGGCCAACCCGGTGTCACTGAATGCGGGGGGGGGGGGGGGACAACCCTTAGCCCGTGGCATACGGACAAGAGCACACACACACACACCCAAGCATCACTTGAGCCACTTGCGGAAAAAAAAAGAAAGAGGGAAAAAAGAAAAAAAATAACAGAAAAACACCGAAAGAGACACATTCCGGCAGATGAAGGGTAAGGGACAGTCCCAGCCATTGATTGTGACTTACCTGTTGAAACGCCGCTTCAGTGAGTTTCAGCGAATCCTTTGGGGCTATTTTTATAGCAATGGTCAATATTTATCCTATCATCTACCGTAGCTTACTCTTACAAAACTGCAACGCAGGACATGACGTCTACAGTTTTGTAAGTCGCCTTATGGTTTTCGACATCACCATTTGGCCGGGATTTATATACCTAGGTACACCGCCCGTAGTAGCCCGTGCAATATCGTGCGTTTGTTTTGCCGAGCCAGTGGGGAATGTCTTGCGGTCCCAACTCTCACTGGCATGCTGCTCTCAGAAGCTCATTTTTTCAGCCACCAACTATCGTCTGTCAAGCATTTTGCCATGTTCAAGACCGCATGTGGGTGCGGCTCAAAATTCAAGAGCTAGGGTTACGCAGGTTTTAGTCGTTGGTTCCATTTACCAGGTGTCATTTTTGGTAGCCATGTTGCCTGGGAACCGCATTCTGGATTCCCTTTCAAAAACCGACGGGGGAGGGGTCCTGGATCTGTTGTTCACCCAAAAGTTAATTCCCCAAATCTTTGTCGGCTTTTCGGTTGCATGCCACACACAGGCTCTTGAGGAGTCAGCCGCATGTTGCCTGGGAACCGCGTGAGGAATTCTCTTTTCACAAACCGACGGGGGGAGGGGTCCTCAATCTGTTGTTCACCCAAAAGTTAATTCCCCAAATCTTTGTCGGCTTTTCGGTTGCAGGCCACACACAGGCTCTTGAGGAGTCAGCCGCATGTTGCATGGGAACCGCGTGAGGAATTCTCTTTTCACAAACCGACGGGGGGAGGGGTCCTCAATCTGTTGTTCACCCAAAAGTTAATTCCCCAAGTCTTTGTCGGTTTTTCGGTTGCAGGCAACACACGGGCTCTTGAGAATCGGCGTCGTCTGTCAAGCATTTTGCCATGTTCAAGACCACATGTTGCCTGGGAACCGCGTGAGGAATTATCTTTTCACAAACCGACGGGGGGCGTCCTTAATCTGTTGTTCGCCCAAAAGTTAATTCCCCAAATCTTTGCCGGTTTTTCGGTTGCAGGCAACACAACGGCTCTTGAGAATCGGCGTCGTCTGTGAAGCATTTGCCATGTTCAAGACCGCATGTTGCCTGGGAACCGCATGATGAATTCTCTTTTCAAAAACCGAGGGGGGGAGGGGTCCTTAATCTGTTGTCACCCAAAAGTTAAGTTCGCCAAATCTTTATCGGTTCCCACACACACACACACCCCAAAAGAAGAGAAATAATGAAGTTCTTGTCAAGCAAACTCGAAGAAGTGACGCAATCATCCCCCCTCCACCCCCCCACCCTGCCCCCCACCCACCCAGCGCAAAGAACAAATCAAGCACAAAAAACACCAAAAATATGGAGTTCGCCCCACGGGCAGCTGTGGGTGGTCCGACTACCTCGGGCCACCTTCCCCCCCGAAAGGGCGTGTTCACGCATGGAACGGTCAGTTGGAGGCGAGTGTTGCCTGTTGGGGCGCTTTCAGGTTGGAAACAATGTTAGAAGGCCAAGCCTGGCAGAGCAGAAGGACAAGCCTCCCAAAGTGATCCGGATCCCACCTAGGATGGGACACCGTTTGTGAATCGATCCGTTTTTCTTCTTCTTTTTTTCTTTGTAATCTCCATTTGCAAGCCTGCCCGCTTGCAGTGCTTGCTCTAGGTTCGGCATGCTCATCACCATGGGCGAGGTGGGTTGGGGTGGATACTAGTGGATACCTTTGGCGTCTCTTCTGGGACGGCCGTTGGGGTGCAAGTCATGGGAATAAGTGCCATGGTGTAGGAAGCCACCATGTCACCAGCCCGGTAGGCAATTGAGACCATTGCGCCGAAATCTGATCCTTTTTTGAGGCAGTGTCAAATAGAAACCTCAGACTCCCCAGCGTTCCACACGCCATTCAAACCGCGAAAGATGAAGCTGGGCAACATCAGCTCACCCATGGAGGTCCCTGACTTGGATATGTCTGGTTTCCGGTTTGAGAATTGCGAGAAAGATTTCATGTGACCATGAGCAAAGGGAATCGACTGAGGGCAAACGGTGCTTGAACCAAATGATCCTTCATGACCCAGGCCCCGTGAACCCTAGAACCCTGAGGAAACATCAAGAGAGTAATGTTGACCCCGCCTTAATATCCCCCCACATTGAAGATCAGAAGGTTTTGGAGGGAACAAGATGTTGGAAGGTTTTTGACCTTGACCCCGTGAATAATCAGCTTCCATCAGATGATACTAGGCATTTCCAGCCTTTTTTAACAAATGAGCTCGAGAAGCAATGCAGAAATTAAGATAGCAGCAGCCAGCTGGGGAGGGACCGGTTTAATGGGGGGGGGGGGGGGGCTTTTTTTTATATTATTATTAAGGGGGTATTGTCTGAGTTATGAATTGCTAAGTATTGGAGGGCACGAGGTTTGATATTTTTTCGGCCTTTGCAAGAGGACTATCATGATGACCCCATGATGACCCAACCCCAGTTTGCCAGTTGGGGTCTTTGGGTGGGCGGCCCCTCGAAAGTGGGCCGATTTTCCGGACACCGAGGTGTAAAAAGATATATATATATATATATATATATATTGGGGTTGATTGATATGGCTATGAATTTTTAATGGGGAACCCACTCCCAAATGGTTGGACATATAAATCCCCACCTAAATGATGTCCACCAGAGGAACCCCGCATGAAAATTAATGCCCATATGGGGTCAACATTAGTCTTCTCTTTTGGGGACCTCGATGGCCTTTCGGATTCCAGGGGTGCAAACATGCCTTAGACGTAGCAAGCCGCAAGCTCTTAGCTCCAAGCCCACAGCCAGCGATTAAGACCCGGTTTTTCCATGTCCTAGTAATTTTGTCCGGGGCTCGCACGATTTTTTTTGCGACTCAAATGCTTTGATCAAGCAGTGGACACGACTCTCCTAGATTGACTCGGAGCAAGGAGCCAGAATTTTGGCTCACCGTCCGCAGAGGTGCAATTGGTGACTCATAGGCTGGCAATGCTTCGCTCAAGCAGCCCTGAATTAGTTTGGATTGGTGCTTGGGGGTTAGAAAGGTTGGGTCTTGTAAATGGCTGTGGGTCAAAACCAATGGTAGCATTTTGGGGTGGGTGCACCACCCGTTTTAGTCTATTTTCGTGGGGATTGGGATGTTCACTGTGGGCTAACCGATTTGGCTTTTGACCCATGGCCAAATGGGACACCGCCCGCTCCAATCTGATCCAAACCACCCATAGCGGATCGCGCCAGGCCGTGGCCTACGTCATGAGCGGCATGTACGGCAGCCTCCGCGAGATCGGTTTGGGGCCTACAGGGCCTTGAGATGGTGTTGGTTTTCTGGGCCTTGAGATGGCGACCTGGAGCTCCAGATTTTGTTTTTTTGAGCAAAGTGAAGGGGTTCGCAAGGGACAGCCGCCATGACATCCGCGGTTCTTGGCTTTGCGTCAAGCCTTTCAGCTACCAGGCGCTAAAGAGCAAACGAGCAGGGATTGGACGTGCACTGATCATGCCCACTCGGCCTGGTCTTTGCAGAGATGGGCAATTTTGGACCAGGAGGATTGCAAAAAGACGGATCTTGGGAGGTTTCCCTGGGCATCCAACGGACGAATCTTGGGGCCGATCGGTTGCCAGGTTTTGAGTGTGACTCAGGTGCCACTTGCGCCATCCTGCTCATCATCCAGCTCTTCTTCGCCGGAGTGGTGGTGATCCTCTTGGACGTCTTTTGACTGCAAAAAGAAGTGGCCGCGACTGAGCTGGGCTTGTCAATTTCTATGGGCTGCAAGGCTTGTGGTTCGCTTTGGGAGAATGTTGTGACAACCACCCCGAAACATATCATGACAAATCCCGCCCCAAACGTCAAAGAAACCTGCAAAGACCTGGTTTGTCGGGTGCCCCGCTCAACTTGCGCTCATAAACCTATAGACCCAGGGTCTCCGCGGCCACCACCGATCGGCACAAGGCTGACATCCACTACCCACTTGTTTTTCGGTATGTCAAATGATGTCAGCCCGAAAAAATGGTATGTACCATGGACAAAAAGGTTCTTGCACATATACCCAAAAAAGGGTAGGTGTTGAGAATAGCGGGTGGAATAAACGGCGGGAAGCCAAAGAACAGCGATGCTCCACCCGTCGGGTTTTGTGGCCTCAAAATGACGTGAACCACATGGGAGAAGGGAAAGACAAGGGAAACCAACAGGGCTCCCTTTTCCCTTTTAACATCACCCCCACCAAGGGCTACTCACCTTTCATGGACCAAACAGGTGATGTTTAAAACCAAAAAGGGACATAGGGGGACCCCTGACCAACCCTGTCCTGTGGCTTCGACCTCACATGCCTTCAGAAAAGGCGCGCCCAACGCCGCAGTTTTCGGCGGCTTTTATTTTCCCTGCCAATCTTCTTTGTATATTTCGTGGCTTTCCAGCGTTTTGGACAGATCTCAAGCATCCTTAGATTTGCTTCTTTTGGTCTTTTGCCGTGCAAACCATGAGACTTTTTCGCCCGCGTCCTTTATGTCTTTGCAATTTTTTGAGAAACTGGAACGACTTGGGCAAGTTTTCACAGACCGCCGGCCAGGGTGAGGGACTTTTTCCCATGGCCAGTTTTGTTGTTTCCTGAACTCTCAATTTGCACAAGGCACATAGAGAGACTTACTTTACCTTCTTAGCCTTAGCCTTTTTGCCTTGTTTTTTTCCCTTTCAACAGTTCAGAGTGTCCTGATTGAACGGCTCTTTAAAGCGAAGCCTGAAAGGGGCCTCTATTTCACATGCTTTGTTCAAGGGAAACCTCAAAGGAACCGCGCTTGTGGCCCTCCCCTGAAAAACTCAGTTCCGAACCGCAGGAAGTAAACCCAGTTGTACCCATGATATTTACCTAAGCACGAATCATGGGCGGACGCCTTGACAGACGCCGCTTTTCACGCGGATCATTTCGTCGGGTGAGCTCAGCTCAACCGCTTTTGGGTTGCATCTTTAGACTTTACTTTGTTGGGAAATGAAGGGGTTCTCCATGAAAACACACAACAAGTTACCGTTGTTTTTAACGCAACAACTCTTATTTAAACTGGGGTTCCCCGTTTTTGTGGGGGGTGGTTACTGCAAGGAGCTGATGCAGAAGGGCTACGGCATCGGCTCGGGCATCTCCCTCTTTATCGCCACCAACATCTGCGAGAGCTCCTCGTTGACTTTTGGTTTTTCGGGGGCGCGAGGTATCTGGATCTCTTGGCGGAGGTGGCCGGATTTGGGGTCAAAGGCTCCGATTTTTTCCATAGAAAAGTCGGAGAAGCTCGCTACTTGCGGATGTATCTGCTGGATCTTGACCTGTTTGACCTTTGTCGGTCCATTTAAGGGGTCATGGCCGACTCACCAAGCCCAGAAGAACAAAAAGGGCACATGACGGGAACATTCGTAATTTTGAAGGATATCATTCCTTGAGCATGGGAGGTCTGTAATATGTTCGAGGTTCACATAGGCCGGCGGCAAATTCACAGTTCATATGGCCACGGGAAACGGGAAGGGTCTGCCCTCGGAACTTCACAGGATGGTTTGGGTTTCATGTTCAGCTGACTAAACATTCTGCCAAAACCCGGCACATTCGGCCGGCCTCTGGAAAAACCACGCCCAAGGGACGTAGCAAGGCTTAAGCCTCAGGAAAGGTTGAGGTTTAGAGGAACACCTAACGATGGCAGCAAGTAAAACCTCCATTTGCTGAACTGAATCTGTTTCATGATTTTCCCTGGACATAATACGTTTTCTCATTCTTTTTCAGGGGGCGAACCTCGGGCGGGGGTTTGGCAAATCCTCCTTCCACTTTCCTATCTGGATGTGTCTTTTAGGGGGGCCCCCCAAATATGGTGGTTTCTATTTGAAGCAACCCCAAAAGGGGTATATAGTGGGCAACCCAAGAAGCCCTTAAGAAACCTGGTGGAACATGGCGAAGGGTTTCTGACACTGGACCTACCAGGCGTCAAGGGAAACACATGGCTACGAGCTTCAAGAGTTGAAACCGCCTCAAGAGTGGTTGGTGGATGTGAATCCCGGTTTGATGGTTTGAGAGGGTTTTAGGTTTCGAACCCCATAGTTCCAGAAAGTACTTCACATTTTGCCGAGGCATCATTTGGAAGGCCGGGAACCGCGTGCACCACCGGCGGGTAGCATAGCGAATATACGAGCCTAGTTGAATGGGCTACCATTGAACCAAACTACCTCATGATCATGGGAGAATCATGATTGTAATTCATTCATATCATTTAGCTCGTTGTATACTGGCCACGGGCTTGCGGTTCTTACAGGGAACCTTGGTTTTGTCGGTTGGTGAATCATTAGAATTTGCAGATGTTGGTCTCAGTTGCCCGAAGCAAATCAACCTTTTCACCCGGTTTTCCAAGTTCGGCCTGTTTTCGTGATGGTCCCAAAGAGTGGACAAAACATAGCTCAACTGGTTTGCTCGTTGACAAGCTTCAACCAATTCCCAGCGATTCCAGTTACCATCGAACCAGTTGTACACATGTCCAAATCATAGCGATCACACAACCCCAATTTCTGGTGTCGGTTGTTGATCACCTTTGCCAACTATTCAGTCTACTCTCTTCTCCCAAGTTCCGGTGCCACAATTGCACTTTGGCTTTACGCCTGGCCTGAGGTTTCGCACACTATTCTCCAACCATGTATCCCTCACTGGCAACCATGACACTATAGCAAGTCGCAAGTCTTCGCCCGGGTTCGCTGGGAACAGGAAGAGCTCGGGAGACTGTTCGGCAAAATCCCAACCGTCCCAACCTCATTTAGCATGGACAACTGGTTTTATCCCACCCCAACCTGCTTGGGGCACGCCTTTTTTTTACGCGTTCCAGGATTTGTGCCCTTTTCTTCAAGGCCGACGCGAGCGTCTTCAACGATGGCAAAACAACTTTGGCTTTTCGCACAGACATCCAAACCCCTATTTTCAGACAACTTGTTGCCCGAGGCCAACCGCCATTGGGACAGGTGCCCCACATGTCCGTTTTGTCACCCCAACTGAAGCCCGATTTGGCACCTCCAGGCGACAAATTCTAAAGCAACCAAACGAGGAAATCTTGGGGAACCCTGAGAAAGGATACGTCACACCAACCAAGTTACAGGAGACATGCCTGATTTTCCCCTTTTGCTACTTTTTCGACATCACCTTGGGGGGATGCCAAATTAAAGTGAGTCTTGCCTGGGTGGGGGGAAGTTTAGGTACGCCCAACGCCGCCGAAATGCACAACCCACATACGGCCAATTGATTTTTGTCTCACTTCCTTTTGACACCACCCCAAACAGCTTCCCTCAAAAAAAACACATACACCACCCCAAAGGTTGACCGAAATGAAATCAGAAACCACCCCAAAAAGGTTCCCTCAAAACACAGCATAAACTACACCAAAAAGGTTCCCTGAAAAACAACAACAAGGTTCTCTGAACATTTTCAACATGGACGCACATCTGGCAAGAGCCGAGCGTAGTTTCTCGGATCAGGTCCCGAAACCCCATCAGGCGACGCCGCAACCCTTGTTTCTGCAGGCTCAGGGAGTTCCCTGTGTCAGTTGTCCCTATTCCCTTTAAATCCGGTTGGATCACTTTTTGTACCAAGTGCGGCTGCTTTTGTTGGGGTGAAGGGGGGACACACACCCGCACTGTGGAAGGACGAGCTCCATTTCGCACCACGTTGAAACCATTGTTTGTTGGCATTTAGAGGGGAGTCGCCCGAAGCCCGGGGTTTCTTGGGTGCGAACTGGATTTCGTCCATCGGTAGGGAGCCACTGGGAGGCCTTCTCTCCGACCACCATGAACACCGGCAAAGGCGTGACAGGGCGTGAGGTGCACCCGAAGAGAAAGAACATGGAGCTGAGCTCGGCGCTTCAACCCAAAAATTTTGTCATTTTTTGGGTTCCTTTAATCAGGCAATGGTGGTTCTTCCAGTGATCTTCGTGTGATTGACCCAGAGAAGGGTGGGTTTTTGCTCCAGACATGGGATTTTTGGCACGAGATCCAAGCTTTAGGATGACTCCTGCTAAGGGTTGGAGGCAGCCAGAGCCAGAACGAGCTCACCATGAAGCCTAGATTCAGGTTTGGAACTGTAAAACTTGCAGAACCGAAAGAAAACAGGTACCTAAGGAAACGGCCTTGAGTTTGCACTTGAGTTTGCACCGCAGTCGAAGTGTTATCCAGCGTAGGTGATGCTGGGCTTCAGAGACCGGCTTCACACATCGGGTCAACCAATTGCCTACCTCTCACATGAAAAATCACAGGTGCATCAACCGCTTTTGGAAACGGAAGCGCGTCTGTCTCGTATTGTCTGTTTTGCAGTCGGCAGGGAAGGGCGTGCGCTGTGTTCTGGAAAAGCTAGCATTGAAATTGGCCTGTCTTTTTTAGGAATCGGACCCCCCAAAAAAAGGCGCTTTTCCTGGTGGCTTCCTTTTAAGCCCATCCACAAAGGGGCACCAACTCTAAAAAAAGATACCCAAGTACCGGGGGATTCCACCCGCGGCTTTGGTTTTGGTGGCTTCGGTTGTAGTTGGGCGGGTGCTTTGTTTTCAACCCAAGTTTCATTTTGCACCCTCCAAGCTTGTTTTGCTCAACCCCTTCCTCTTGTTGTAGCCCTCCCTCCTTTGGGACCCCTCCGAGTCGACTCGATCGAGTCGACCGATCGCGAGGCACAGAGTTCGAGGGCGCCATCGTGGCTACCTTCCACTTCATGGCCTCCAGGTCGGCGCGTTGGCCGCCGGTTGCAAACCGCGAGCCGCGGCTCCGGCTCGCTCGATCGGCCGAGCCAGTGCGTCGATGCTGGTTCCCCTAGGAAAAGCTTCCCCGAAGCGAAGCCCCACATGGGCGTGGCTCAAAATGAAAGAGCCAGTCCATGTACCAAGGTGCCATTTTGGGTACCTGTGTTTGACCCACAGCCACATGGGGTACGGGGCCCTGACAAGGGACAGACCCATTTGAAACGCAAGAGGGATTTGGAGCCCAACAAAATGCACCTGATCCCCGACGAAAAAGGCCAACTATGGGTGGTGGTCCCTTTTTGGTTGCCCTGCCTGAAACCACCCGAAAAAGGGTCTCGAGCTTCAAAGCACACCCACCTTTGGGCTGAGCCATTCGAATAGGTTGGTGGGGTTCGTCAATGCCATCTTTAGTCAGGATTGACATGTGGGATATTGTCACATTTGCATTCTCTAGCCGCTCGCCTCACACCTTTTGACGAACCCCCTTGTCATCTTGCCGAATAGATGTGGGAAAATGATCCCCATCTCGACAGCTTGCCGGTCGAGACGGAGTTGGCAGCTTGCCAGGTTGATTCCCACAACCCGAATGACAAATCTCGACTGACCCGCAATTTGTGGTTACCATATTCTCATGTTCCTGTTTTCACTGGGCCTGTTGGTGGGTATGTTAGTTGGTGGGAGGGAACCCTGTTTCCTGGGAACCCAGGATTGACAAACCCGACAGATCAGGGGTGTCACAATCCTGGGTTCGCATTGGACGGGCTTCTCCCCCCCAAACTATTGTGCAACGCAGAGGACCTTTGGAGGGGAGTGTTCTTCCAGGTCCCAGCTACCGGTGCCACGGTAGCTGGGACCCTCATGTTTTTTCTGACCAGTCTCGATTGGTGTCTGACCAGTCCACTGGATGTTTTTTTTTTCTCCAGCTGAAAGCTCTGGGGTCTTTGCCTAGGCCCCGGGTCCGGGGCGGCTCCATTGGGTTCGGTTCAGAGGGCTCCGGTTCGCAGGGCGGTTCCGACTTGGGATGCATGGGGCTTCCGAGGAGTGCGTGTAAATGTGCCTCACGCTGTTGATATCACCTCAGCTTCCCTGACAGCTGAAGAGTTTGAAGCTCTGGAGGTTCAGAGCAGCTTTCGGGGTTCCGGCAGGCGTGGGGGGTTTTCCCAGCCTTTACAAACCAAGTGGAAAATTGCCAAGGGTTGCCTAGTACACTCTCTTGCCGGGGATTGGGCTGGGGGACACGGGTGCGCCCGTTCTGTTTCGGGTCGCAAAATGAATGTCGGTTTCCCTTCAACCAAAGGATGAGGTTCCCCACCGTGCCATGGAAAAGTTTAAGGCCCGAAACCTGGAGAAAACAAATGCGGTTCTCCCCACTCGTGCGCCATGTTTCGGCGCGCGAATGGATTTTTCGGTTTCAGGTTCCAACCAAAAAAGGTGGTTCCCCACTCCTTCGGTGCTTTTTTTGCCAGGAGCGACAAGCTGATGGCCCTGAAAGAGGCCTTCTACCGCCAAAGCGCCCCCAACCTCACGAACCTCTTTGCCACGGCGCGGGTCTCAGCGCTGGAAGCTTTTTTCTGGGCAAAGAAGCAGCTGGGGCCAAACCGAAAGGGGCCCTTCAATGGGCTTTGATCAATTGGGTTCGACTTTATATTTTTCAGGGCGGTATCTTCCGTCTTTCTTTGTTTTACCTCAGGCATCCTAACATTTCTCTTTGCCATTTGGGCCAATGTTGGAGTTTCTCTCTGGAGACTTTGTCGAGGATGTCTGGTTTCACCTTGTTTTTTCCATGGGAAAACCGCACGGGCGGGGGGGGAGGGAAGAGAAAACCTTTGGCTTGTCTCGTCCTTCACATTGACCCACTGCACGAGCTCCCCAAACCTCGGACTCGAGGTCTTGGTCTTCTTCGTGGTGATCTACTTCCAAGGCGATTCCCGGGATCCACGGGGAACCATTCCCATGGTCTCTGGCCCTCTGGTTCTCCCTCAGCTCTCGGCATGTCTGTGTGTGTCTGTGTGTGTCTGTGTGTGTCTGTGTGTGTCTGTGTGTGTGTGTGTGTGTGTGTCTGTGTGTGTGTGTGTGTGTGTCTGTGTGTGTCTGTGTGTTTGTTTGTGTGTTTGTTTGTTTGTTTGTTTGTTTGTTTGTTTGTTTGTTTGTTTGTTTGTTTTTGTTTGTTTTTGTTTGTTTGTTTGTTTGTTTGTTTGTTTGTTTGTGTGTGTTTTTCCGGGAACCTTTTTGGATAATTTCAAAGGCACACCAAAGGAAAACACCACTTTGGGGGTACCCACATCAATTGAGCAGCAATAACAGGTGGTTGAGGATGCGGGTGTTTCTCAAAAGGCACCCATTCCTTCAGGTGGTTGATGGTTTTTTGGTTCCCCCTCAAAACCATCGAACACTATTTTGGGAATCACCCAGATACCCCACGAAAAGCGCACCAGAAGCCACGGCGGAGTTATTTGCCGGAGGTTACTCACTTACCCCACGTATGTCGAGCATGTCGGGTTTAGTTGGTTCCATTCTATCCACCTACCCCAAATCCAAAGGTAAGCGCCAGGATTTTGAATTTACCCGGAGACCCTGATGGGCACTAACTCTGGGCACATAACTCTGCTATGGTTATTAGTCCTGTCCATGAAACATAAACGCCGGTACCACCTACTTTGCAGCCTTCCCTCTCTTGGTTGATTGATAATCCTATGGACTTGTGTGCCTCACACGTGGTAACAAAGAAGAGGGGTGGATTCAACTTCTGGAGAGAGAGGGTTAATGCGCTGTCGCTGTCAAGGGCCCATGAGAACTACCAGGGCTCAGCCACTTGTTTGTGTCCACCTCACAAAACTCCCTGTTTTTTGAAAGATCCCACCAAGCCTAGAAGTTCGCAGGCCTTGTTTCCAGAAGGAAGGCAGTCTTTCAGAAAAGGTTTGTGCACTTCCATCTTCCATGTGTGTTGGGCGGGTAGGGGAACGGGCCGGCAGGCTTCAAGGTGGACCTCCCCGTGAAGTACCAGAAGGTGCGCGGGCAGCAGGCCGGAGTCGCTTCGCCTGAATCGGGGGATGTTGGTCTCCGGGGACGTTGCGACCCAGAAAACATGCCCTTAAAACAGGGCTTCCTGAAAGAGCTTCCTTGGAAGAGGGATTTCCTGAGGGGATGATGAAAAGGGGGGGTTGTCTAACACCAGCGTCAAGCTTTGGTGATGGGTCCGAGGGAAGTGGACAACCAGTTCCCTCAGTGAACTAGCCAAGCAAAGCGTTGGCAACAGGATTTCCCTTGTGCCCTTCCTGGGTGAGCAACCAAATCAACATCAACCAATCCTGGGTTCCCATGAAGCCACTGACTAGAGATCAACAAATTTGCTTTCATGGCTTTCCACAAGAAGGAGCCTGAATGTTCAAGCCAGGCGCGCCCCCAGTTTTTGCTTTCGCGCCACCGCTTCTTCTGCCGCAGAACCGGACCGCCAACTTCATGGACTGTCGACTGCTGTGCTGAGGGTGTATGGGTTTTCCATCGCTGGTACCTTCCCTCCCACTAACATAGCACCTGCGGGAGGGTACCTGAAAGATCAATTTCCTCTTGAATGAACCCTCTGTGAGGTGCCATGTTAGTGGGAGAAAGGGTAAACGCTTTTGCGATCTTTCCCAGCACATTTGGGCACAAAACAATGCAGCCAATCTGGTTCGGCTTTTCGAGCTTCCCCACGGCCCCTTGGCGGTTCGGATTGGCGGCTTGGGGCTTTGAACTCTCTCCGGGTAAACAGGTAGGTCACACCCTCCAAACTATCAAGAGGGTGTTTCTCAAAATTCGGGACCACATCAGTGGTTGTTTTTTGTTGGTTTCTTTACAGCCATCCAGCAAGGATTCCCCTATTTCGAGACCCCAAGAGGAGAAGTGCCCTGTGATTCGCAGGGCTCGTACCCTATCAAGCTCTTCTACACCTCCAACATCCCGATCATTCTGCCGGGTGCCGAGAGAAGCACGCGGGAAGGTTTCCCCTCGGTTGCGCGTGGTGTTTTGTTGGCATCACTTTGCAAACCACTGCGAGCAGGGGGGTTGATGGGATTTTCAAGGCACTATATTAAAGGGTATCTATAGGGGTCCCCGTATTTCCCTTTTACTGTCATCCACTGTAAAGAAAGGGGATGACACTGGGCATACTCACTTCAACGCAATCCAAACCCATCCAAACCACCAAAGGATTGCCATCCATGTCCTTTTGAAACCTTTAAACCCCCACAAGCCCGAGAAGACAGAAAAGAAGCGATGGTTCTTTCCTTGAGCAAAAAGGTCATGTCAAGGACCCCTGCAAGGGGGTCGTTGTATGTGGACCCCGCCGTTGTTCCAAACGACATCCGTTTAAAGGTACCACCCCCCAAAATTTTCCCCAAACAAAGTAAAGGGGTAGAAGGCAATCCTTTATAGCGGGCCTAAGTGATATATTTCTTGTTTGGTGTGGTCCGCAAGGCTGGGGAAATCTTCGAGCGGGCCGTTCGCAATCCAAAACACAGCACAAGCACACACCCATGTTTTTTTCCACTGGAGGTTCGGGAAGAGAATCTCCTGCAAAGAACCATGGTTGAAACCATTGTTTGTTGGTATTTACAAGGGAATCATCAGAAACCAGGTTTTCTTAGATGGTGCTTAGGTCCCGGCATTGCAAAAGGTGACACTTCCTTAGGCAAACCCACAAGCTCACCAACTCATGGGCCATGGGCCCACCTGGTGGTATAAACCCCCCAAGGCCCCAAGGGGGGGGCCCCTGGCACGAGGAGTTTCCCTTAGATTTGGCGCTGGGAATTTTGAGCGTTACCAGCTTAACAGTAGTTCATGAACACACATCCCTATCTTTTTTTTTGCATTGGATTGAATTTCGAGGTCCACAATTTCGGGCCCCCGCGGCCTTTTCCGGCTCATTCCTCTTCGGTCCGAGGCAGACCGCCCTGGTGTCGAACCTCTACTTCCTGTCCCAGCTGCTCTACAGGCTCCCTGCAACTGAAGCGAAGTGATCTTTGGGCCTCGGTTTGCATGATTTGAACCCCATACTTTGGAGACAAGAGGAGGGGACCCAGAAGACTTTCTTTTTTGCAAACCGAAGCAAACCGCAAGGGTGGGGTGAGGTGACTGTTTAGTGGGAGGCCTTCACGAAAAGTGTGGCTCGAGCCATGTTTAGTTGCACGGAACCCTGCGGGAACGGAAGGCTGGTGTCAGATGCCACTGGTTGTGGGCTCGGTCTCCTGATGTTTTCAACTAGAGTCCCAACAAGTTTGAGCTGTTCATGACCAAGCAGGAATCTGAGCACCTCGGATCCTTTTGCAGTTGGAACCCTTGACTCTGAGTACTTGATGTGTTTGCTCGTTCTCTGTGGCGTGTAGCAAAACTGGTCATGACATCACACAGTTTTTGCCTCGAGTGTTTTCTACCCCTGGAATCCCCACTAAAAAGGGACCCGCTGCTTAATGAGTCGGGGGATGTATTCATCAGGGTCATCAACATTGTGAATGGATCTGACAAAGCCAAAAGGTCAAGGGGGACAGGGGTTTTGGAGGTGGGGATGCTCATATATTACCACCAACATAAGCTTGTAACGTAGTGGCTCCAAAACCCATACCAGAGGATGGGAGGAGTCGCTTGGACGCCATGCCCTTAAGGAAACCAACAGGTCGATGCACTTCCCAGATACAAGTTGTGCCCGATTTTTTGTCGTTTTTTTGGAGGGGGCTTCCCTTTGCCCTTTTGTTCCGATGGGGCTGATTGGCCTGCTACTTCCCCACCACGCACCAGTGTTGCCCTTGTTTCTCCAACTTTTTTGGAGGCTTGCCTCTGAAATCGCCCCCCCCAAACAAATCCCACAAACAAGGAGTGCCCTTCTCTTTTCCCATAGGACCTCCAGAGCTCTGCGTTGTCCATGCGTTTTCCAGGCGCTTCAAGTCCAACATGCTGGTGAACCTCCTGGGCCAGTGGCAGGCCGCGAAAGGGTCTCCGGGATGTTGAACTGATGGCCAAGCTTTTTGCTGAATATGTATATATATATATACACATACATAGTTATATATATATAACTATATATACATATAGTTATATATATAGTTATATATATATATAGATATATATATATATATATAGTTATATCTCTATATATATATATATGTATATATTTAACTTATTTCCCCTGTTGGCTTCAAAGCGGACACGTCATGGCCGTATTTGGCCTCAGTTGGCCCTATTTTGAGAATTATTTTGCCTAAGCATCCCAACCAACCCTTGGCCCCAATCGGTGTTCCTGAACATAGTGCCCCCCTACCATGTTTGGCCTCCTTTTCATTTCCCTTTCACCGACCAAAACCTCCGGAGCCTTTGCGAACCCCTTTCTGGGGGTAACTTGTCCATTCTTTCCAGGGATCCTTCTGGAAACCCACCCAAAACCCTGGGGATGGAATCTTTCCAGGGATCTTTCCAGGGAAACTGGTTTTTGAAAAGGACGATGGATGAAAAGAATGGAAAAGGAATCAACCCCTCGACGCTTGAAACCTTTGAGGAGGCGGACTTCGGCGGGACCTCCATCCCTGTGGGTGGCTTTGCCTACTACATCTCCCCGCCCAATAGCGCCGGGGTGCCCAGCGTGTGGTTGGTGTTTTTTTTTCTTTAAGAGTCGGCACCCTGTTCCTCTGGGGAGGGGCGGGGGGGGGGGGCGGTCTTCATGATTTCTTTGTTTTTTGTTTGGAGTTGGAACCTTTTCTTTGTTTTTTGGAGTTGGTACCTCTTTTCTTTGGCGGGAGGGGCGAGGGGGGTTGAGTTGGTATCTTTTTATGAATTTGCATGTACTCGGGGTTTGCTTTTTCACCCAAAAGGCCTGTCTCTCTCTCTCTCTGTGTGTGTGTGTGTGTGTGTGTGCGTGTTTTTTTTTTTTTTTTGGGGGGGGCTGGGTGTTTGTTTTCGGGGTACCCTTGTCAGCTTTCAATGCAAAACGAGGAGAACCGCCACGTGTTGGGTCCCTCTTGACACAAATTTAACTCATTGGGTCGGACCTGATCTCTTTTCCGCCTTTGAATCCAGTCCATCACGACGAGTTCGCCTACCACGCGAATTCAGCATTGGGTCAGCAAACTGAAAACACTTTTTGCAAGGAGATTTCTTGATGCGCCCGGACCTCCAGTGGTGTCCCTTTCCCCATTGCACCGGGGGTCCTGCTAGAATCATGAAAGCACTGCTGGCTTTGTCCTACCTGAGCCATGATCAGCAAGCCTGGGGGGTGGGGGTTCGGGCCAAAATTGCTGAGTTGGTTTGCCAAATCACCATCCTACTACGGGTGTTAGGATCTTCGCTGATCTTTTTGCGCCCAAGGTCTCCAACATCTGGGAGGATCCTCTTCATGCCGCTCTGGACGATTTGGAGCCAGGGTTTGCCTGTTGGCCATTTCCTGTAGCTGCAAGAATACGGAGCCCAGTGAAGGAAAGCCTCGAGGGTTTCCGACCAGGGTTGCTGCAAGTCAAAAAGAGAACAATGACCACACCCGGGTAGACAATTGGAGTTGGGTCCCATTGTTTTCCTTTCTCTTTTGGCCTCGTGACTATCGCTGCAAGGACTTGGAATGATCAAGTAGCAAAACTTGGCCAGAGTAAACACTCCTGTCTCAGCCCGATAGGCTTCGGAGTGGTTTTTTGGAGCGGCTCCGGAAGGGTCTTGGGACACCGGTTGCTGTTGAGGATGCCACCTGACTTGTTTGATTTCTCGAGTGGCTGAAGCCACCAGGGGATGGATACTTTTCGTCCAATTTTGCGGGCTTGGTTTGCAGCCCACACATCTTTCGTTGAGATTCGCCCTCAAGTTGAACCCTACGTGGGTGGATTATTTCTCTCGGATTGGAGACACCCCATGGTTCTTTGGACCATGTTACACCTGTGGTTTGGGTTTGTCCGAAATGGGCGCAGGGACCAAACGTTAAAAGGGGGGCAATCAAACACTCCCGCTCGAAAGGCGAAAACAAGGTGTTGGGTGGCCCGACAAAATCTTCTTATGGGGAACCTGCACAGAAGTCCCGAAGTCCCCTTGAAAGGAACATGATCTTCCCAGAATCCTTGTGCAGGTTCAATGTTTGTCTTTCGGAGGGAAACACTTAGGCCCTTATCTGTTGGATTCTAATTTTCCGCTCTCAGCCAAAGTCGGTGTAGGCAGCCAGGGTGCCCGGATGCCAGTTTCGGGCACTGGAGGAGAGTCATATTGCCGCTTTTCTGGAGCAACCGCAGATATGTGCGCACTAGATATATTGAGCTTTCTAGCCAAAAAGAAGCCGAGGAGTGTCCTAGGATTTCAAGGAGTTTCTTGGGGCTGATTTCTACCAGTTTCTCAGGCTGCCAAGGGTTCAACGAAGGGTTTTCGAAGGGGTTCCCATGACAGAAAACAAAACACAAAAAACCAGGCGCTGATCTATGTCTCCTTCGTGCTGATCTCCTGTGCGCTCTTCTCCAAGTTCTGGATCGAGGCGGGTTGCAAGCTGCAAGGAGCGTGGCTGGTTGTCTTGGTGCTTGTGTCATGACTGGAGACACGGCTTGTTTTTCTTTGTGGCGTGCGGCATGAGCTCGCAAATGGCAGGATTCCCCCCCCTTGAGGTTTTTGCGGAGTTCCCCACTTCAAGCAGAACACCTCGGTTTCCAGGGCGATTTCCCTTCCGCGATCTTCATCTCCTTCTCTTCTGTTTTGGGGGCGGCAAGTGGTTTTCCCTTGCGGTTTCACGAGTTGCGTCGTCATTTCTCCATGTCTTCCATTTGAGTAAGCATCTGTTTGTTGTTTTCCCCTGTGGTTTTAAAGGGAATCTATCACCACTGGGAATATTTGTTTATTTTTTCCAGGGTCTTAACCAACTAGAATATTTTCCTTTTTCCCCGTTCGGGGCCGCGCGTGTTTCGGCCTTCCGCTGGCGTTGCCGCGCAACGCTGCTTGGCGTGAGGTGTCCGGTTCCTCCCCGCGGGACGTGGCCAAGCAGCTGCGGGACAACTCTATGGTCTTCAAGGGTGGGCTGCCGGGGGGCGTGGGGCCGCATGTGGGGTGGGGTGGGGTGGGAACTGGGGGAGGGGGGGAAGACAGCCAGGTAGCAACGGCCCAGTTTCGAGGTGATTTGCTGCACCCTGGAAGGGAGCGGGGCACTTTAAAACAAGATTAAGTTGTGATCGCAAGAAACCAGAGTCACTTCTTGGCCACCTGTTCTATTCCAACCGGCAAAAAACAACATGGGATCATCTCAAAACCCAACATGAGATGATATTCCCCGGCTCGGGTGGGTTCCGGTTTCGACGCCAAACTGACCTGTTAGGAGCCAATGCTTCGGCCCCGCTTGGTGAAACGCCAATAGGTGTGGCGGGTCCTTGCCTTGCCTTGGTTGTTTGGTTAGTTGGCTTGCTGGTTGGCTTGCTGGTTGGCTTGCTGGTTGGCTTGCTGGTTGGCTTGCTGGTTGGCTTGCTGGTTGGCTTGTTGGCTGCTACGGGTTGGCTGCTGTGGGTTGGTTGCTGGATTGCTTGGTTGCTTGGCTGGCCGGCTGGCTGCTTGCTTGCTTGCTTGCTTGCTTGCTTGCTTGCTTGCTTGCTTGCTTGCTTGCTTGCTTGTCTTGTCTTGTCTTGTCTTGTCTTGTCTTGTCTTGTCTTGTCTTGCTTGCTTGCTTGCTTGTCTGTCTTGCTTGGGGCTGGTTGGCTGGTTGGCCGGTTGGCTGGTTGGCTGGTTGGCCGGTTGGTTGGCTGGCTGGTTGGTTGGTTGGCTGGTTGGCTGGTTGCTAGTTGGTTGGCTGGCGTTGGCTGGTTGCTAGTTGGTTGGCTGGCGTTGGCTGGCTGGCTGGCTGGCTGGCTGGCTGGCTGGCTGGCTGGCTGGCTGGCTGGCTGGCTGGCTGGCTGGCTGGCTGGCTGGCTGGCTGGTTGGTTGGTTGGTTGGTTGGTTGGTTGGTTGGTTGGTTGTTTGGTGGTTGGTTGGTTGGCTGGCTGGCTGGCTGGCTGGTTGGTTGGTTGGTTGGTTGATTGGTTGGTTGGTTGGTTGGTTGGTTGGTTGGTTGGTTGGTTGGTTGGTTGGTTGGTTGGTTGGTGATTCTCTTTTTGTTTGGGACTGAGGGTTGGGTTTCTTTCCAATCATGGACATGGGCGATCGCACGATCGGAGAGACGTCTCAAATAGGGGACCCTCACAATTGGTGTTCAAACCATCCCAAAAGGGCTACTCGCAAAAACACGCGCACCCAATTTGCGGTTTACAGGAAACCGCTGCCCCCCCCTCTCGGGGGACCCCCCCCTCCCCATCAGAAAGGAAAACAAGCCATCTGAGGGTTTGTATTACACCCCGGGAATACACCCTTGGGAAATGACCCAGAATGATGTGAAATAACACTGGTTTATCCGGAAATGTACCTAAATGGGGTCAATACCCAGTGGGTGTATTCCCAGGGTGTAATACAAAAACCCTTAGCAAATAACAATAGGACTATTACGACGATTTCTCGGCGCCTCTGCGGCTTCCGGCGTCGCTAAATGTGTGACACTGTAGCCGGTCCACTAAAATGACTTTTGGACCTTCACGCGGCGTCCTTTCCCCTTCCTAGACGTTTCAGCTTGCGAATCCGCCAAGAAAATCGCAAAGATAGCACATAGCTGCCCCCAATGCACCGGGAGTTTCGACGGAGCCTGCCAAAATTCACACAGGGTATGGCTGGAGTTGACCCCCAACTTCTTGGGAAGACATTTGGACCATGTCGCCAACTCAAGTCTCAAACGAGCCAAAGGCTGCAATGGCGGCAGCCCCGATTGATGGTTACTTGTACGGGAGGGTCCCATTGAACGGAGTCCTTCACGCTGAGAAGAACATCCCCCTCATGTGGGCAAGCGAGGGCAGGTTCCGTTCCGTGAAATTCCATTGGTCTGTGTGTGTGTGTTTTGTATTTTTCAGGGTGTACCCTTTTGGGGGTTGGTTCAAAAGGAAGTCAAAGGAGAAACATTTACCCAGACAAATCACTTTGTTTTGTTTTTTTTTGGGGGGGGGCCTTGAAGCCACCATTAAAAGGCACCTTTGAGGAGCCACTTCAATGGACCCAGTACCACGAGGGCGGTCCATTCCCTACCAGTTTTGAAAGGTGACGGGTGTCAGTTTTGGGTGTCAATTCTCTATTGGATCTGGTACTGGTACCCTTTTTCTTGGGTAAATGACCACAAAGGCCTGCTGATTATCATATCCCTCTCCCCAAGGAGGTATGCACCTCTTACAACGTGCTGTTGTTGTCAATTTCCTTCGCGCCCCATCTAAGAAGCTTCCACTCACGTTCGCCAGGTCACCGAGAGGAGTCCCTGCTCGGGCACCCAAGTTTCATCCCGCGAGGGGTTTGAATTCTCGCAATGCCTGTCATGTAGCAGGTCTTCCATTTGCCGAACCGAACAGTTGTTCAATTCCTTACTCATTTTTCCAGACGAGAAAGGACATGGTCTTTCATTCAACCCCTCTCTTGGGGCTCCCAACTTTTGAAGGCCACAGAAGGGCATCTGAGCTGAGAAGGCGGAGCTAAAGAGGTCAACTTCCATTTGCTTAAGATTGTGGTTGTCTTGATATATCTTATTTTCCCTTGTCGATTTTAAAGAGAATCTATCACTACTGGAAATATCATTTTTTCCCAGGCAGCTCAAGCAAATGGACGTTAACAGTAAAAAGGGTTGCTCAGAGAATTGGTTCGGTCTCCTTGGGTTTGTTTGTTTCAGGGGCAATGGTTTAGATACAAGTTCTAGGGTCTTTGGAGCAAACATGTGAATGTGCAAAGTCCGAACGAGCAAGGCAATCCTGCTGCTCCCTAAGCTACTTCAGGTCAAGCACTTTTGTCATCATCAGGGGGTCCATGGGCTTCGGGCTGTGAGGAAAGGCGCCTGACGTCAATCGCTTCACCGGAGATGCTCATTTGGGTGTGTCTTGTGCAGGCCTTTCTCCGCCCATAAACAAGTCAGTTTTCCTTTGGTTTCCCTTTAAAGCCGCAAAATTAAGGCTACCTAACAAAAAGGCGCCCCCCATGTCCGTCGGAGAACAGTCACTTATTCTTGTATTTCGAAGTCACGCCGGGCGAGTCAAACCCTGGCACGTGAAATGTGGCCGGTTGTTGGAGAGTCTGTCATTGTGAACCTCCCCCTTCCCACCCTGCTGTTGGTCCCAAACACGGATGGCTAAGTGGTTGGCATGGGATTACTTGGTCCAGTTCTGGCTTCTTCAGTCCTTGGCTTGAACAAAAACAAGAGGTGAACTCGTCGCTGGCCGCGGCAAATCGTCCACTTTGTTTTCCTCAAGAGTCGACTGAGGTTGAAGGTGCTGGACATGTACATCCCCACTGCCGCGGCCTTCGGCGGTATGTGCATCGGCGCCTTGGAGCAATCCAAAGGGTCCTTTGGACGGGGATGACCCGGCTATAAACCATACCGCTGGTCTCCTAGGGAATCCCCTTCCGGTTTCCCACATTCCCTATCGCACCAGGACAGTCGAAAGGGAGAATTTGAAAGAGGCACCAAGAAGGGAGAGCAAGAGGGCCCTTGCGTTTCAAGCATCACCTTTTATCCCCTACAGTGAGCTTCCATTGGGTGATGTTTGAGTGGCCTCACCACGCGCCAGGGGGGAACTCCGACGAGTGGACACAGGTGGCTCCGAGTCTCAAAGTTCATGCCCCATTTGGGTGTTTCTCTACCAAAAAATGGACCCCAGGTAGGTGGATTACTTTTGATTTCCTTAAACAAAGATTAAAACAACAAACAAAAAGGGGTCCCCTTGTCTGAGAGTCACCCACGTGGTGTCATACTTTGAGCGGTTTCGGTTGCCGGGGACCTTTGAGACTGTTCTTGGACAATGGACTCGTCAGGTTTGCAGCGGAACCCAGAGAAACATCAATACCTAACCAAAAGGATCGCCTTGCCATCTCAGGGTTTCCCGTCGAATACAAGCCCATTTGGCTTTGTCTCAAAGTAGCGTAACCCATTGACATCAAAACGACCTTCAAAAGGGTACCCTCCCCCAACCAGCATGGGGAAAAAACACCAGAAAAAAGCCTTTCCAAGAGGAAAGCAGTCTTTATGCAGGAGTCTGTGCACCAAACCATGTTAGTTGGGAGGCTATCCTCAAAAAGCCGCCACGCCCAGTATGGCACCGAGGCATGCTGACCATCATGGCCGACTTTCTGGGCGCCATCGGTAGCGGCACAGGTATCCTGCTGGCGGCGCCTCGCCCGCCCCAGTGTTCGAAGATGACGCCCCGGCATCTTCAGATTTTGGGATGTTGAGCCGCTCCCTTGGATGCGCGGGAGTAATTCCCCACTTAGTGACTATGTATTGGAACAGAGTCGGAATATGTTTATGGTACACCCTTCTTTGTGGGCCAAGATTATATAAGGGTGCAGTTCCAGCATATAAACGGGTGCGGAAGTGCGCGCTGTGGACTTCATGGGTTTTGGGCGGACCATTTAATATATCAGGTTGGCATTGCGACTCATCTTTGGGTGGGGGCAGTTCAGCAAGGGAAACAACCTACCTGTTCGTGGGGTGTATCCCTTCTGCCATTGGTTATGTACCCCTCCTTTACGCCTCCTTATGTACCCTTACAATCCACTTGTTTAGCCCGTATTCCCTTTTTTACCCCGCACGTACACCTTCTTTGCCTCTTACTAAACCCCTATGAGCCATGGTCAAAAGACCTGCTTGCGTGGTGTCCACCCGGTTGTAAGGATCTTTAAAAACAGTTATAGTCATTCTTTTTTCAGGGAGCCATGACCATGGGCCATATAAGGAGTTGAGATCATGGCATGTATGCAGGTTGGTACTTCCAGCTGGAGGGAAGTGTTCAGCCCCGTCTTTTTTGCGGATGGCCTTGCAGGAACTCCAATGTGTAGGTGGCTGCTGGGTTTGAACCCATCCATAGCAAACAAACCTTTGGGACGGTTTTTTCCTACTCAACTCAGGGAGCAGGATTTCGATGGAGGTCCAAGCGGGAAGCGCCCAAACCTTTCATGGGCAATTTGAGCAGATCCTGACACTAGGCTTGGCGGGCTTTGGAGTAAGGCTTGTGTCTTTATTGGCCTTTAGACCTTAAAAAACCGTCTTAGCAGAACCAAACGTCAATAGGCTTCGCGCACTGCTCAGGTGACCATCATTTACCAGTACTTCGAGATGTTCTACAAGGACTGGCATGCTTTGTGTCAGGTTTTGGCTTTGGGCCCCAAATCAGGATTTGGAGTGGCATGAGGCCCTCTTTACTTTAGGGGGGTGGGTACACTTCTAGGGAGTCCCTGTCTTTTCCAACAAGGCCAGCAAGCAAACATGGGGGCGGCTTTTTTTCCGCCATCCTCGCCTTCCCGCGACCCTTCAAAACAAGCTGGTTTGGACAACCCAGTACTACTCGGGAGCCTTGGTGCCTCCAAAAAGTTGCAAGCCCATTTCATCGGCTTGTGAATTCCAGTTGCCACGAAAAAAGCTGACCATTCCATTTGCCTTGGAATTGTCAAAGAGTGGGTCCCTTGGTTACCAACGTTCTCTTGGTTTCAAAGGTAGTTCCTATTCCTGGGCGCCTCACATAATCCCCTTTTTTAGCCTCAAGCACCAGTTTCGGTGGAGCACTGTGAATTGCGACTTTCCCAGGCAAAATCTGAGTCCCTAAGGGTGAATGGTCCAAGGAAAGAACGGTTTCTTAAGGCCTTTCCAACGAACCTTGGGGAATTCTAAGGAACCCAACGGGGCACTCCACCAAGTACCCACCCCCTATCCCCTGTACTACCAGAGTTCGTCAGGAGAAAGAGCAGGGCAACATGCTCTTCTGATCGTGCGAGCCCGGAAATCCTAGAGAATTGGATGCTTGGAAAGAATGGGTTTTAACCGAAAATATGACCTCATACAATACTTCCCCATTCTTTCCGGTTTTCCAATTTTCACCCAAAACAGATGCAAAAGCGAAAAAAAAAATAAACAGGGACACACTGATCTTTGATCGAAAGAACGATGCAGGGGGACAGAATGATGGGGTGGGGAAAGAAGGGAAATAATGATGGTTGTTGGGAAAGAACGATGGTTGGGGAAAGAACGATGGTTGGGAAAAGAACGATGGCCCCGGGGAAAGAACGATGGTTGTAGGGAAAGAACAATGCCCCGGAAAACAGAACGCTGCCAGTAAGATCGATGGCCTGCAGCGGCATGACTTTGGCAGGTCAGGGGAAGGGGTTGTCTAGTCTATTGGCCCTACCCCTAGCCCGCGGGACAACTTTCTGCATGCTTCAGTGCTCGCTGCAGAAAATAGCAAAAACTGAGCCGAAACCGGCTGGAAAGACCGATCGTTGCACTGAGTGCGCGTGTGACGAAAAAATGGGGAATCAACCCTTAGAATTATAAGTTATGTGCATACTACAAAAATATGAGTATGTTCCAAAAGTATGAAGCAGTGATATAGGAAAGCAATTAAACACGTAATAGACACATAATAGAAAGCAAATAACATAACCAGATATGCGGAATCAAACGATGGGACAGATATAGATGATGATAATTCCACAATTACTATTATTAAAGATAGCTTTGAAGAATTGAGCTCCCCTAGGGCTATATTGCCCGGTCACCGCATCTTTCTTTCCTAAGCCCAGGCATATGGCTTTTGAAATGATCAAAGCTTCCCCCCAAAACATCGATTGGCTCAAAGCGAGGGGCTCGTATTGCATAGGAGGCGGGAGGCTGTGCATGGACAGCAAGAAACGGGGCAAAGCGCCCGTTCTCGGGAAGCAAAGAAAGTTCGGTCGGCCAGCCGGCGTGACCGCCTTGGACTATCTGCCAAAACGAGACGCTTTTGGCTCCTGATTTGACTGGAGAAACTCTTCTTGGTTCTATTGAAGGGGAAGTCAGGAGGACGCCCCCCATTTTGGGGTCGAGTTTGAGGAACTGGATATGAACCAGAAGTCAGCATGGGGCGCTCACATACGGAGAACCCGCTGAGTCGCAAGGCCAGCATCGGCAGGCCGCGAAGGCTAACTGACTGCCCGATCTGATCTTCGCCTGGGGTTGGCGGATCAGTCTTGGCTTCACTGTTCTTGGTACACGGGTTTTTGGCGGTGGTTTGGGGTATTTCTTTGGAAAAAGTGATCTTAACGTTTAACGAGTTGTTGGTTGCAATGGCGGGGAGAACCTCCGTTTGCTACTGGCAGACCTGGCCTTCAGGACCGCAGGCTTCAGGCGAGAAATTCACCGGCGGAGGCCGGACGCGTCGGCCCGCTCCGGCGTCCGGACGCTAAACGTGGCCCGGGGCCGCGGGGCAGGGGCCCAAGGCCCTCCCACCGCGGGTTTTGCCCGGGAGCCACGGTACTGCTGGGGCCGCAGGGCTTTGGCGCGAAACAGGCAGAGGTGCTACGCTCGTCAGGGCGCCGTGAGGATTGTTTTTTTTTGAGGGGAAGAGTAGTTTGGCCGCCCGAAGCTGGAGCCAGCGACAGAGCCATGGGGTTTATGGTCTGGCCACAATGGGGCTTCCCTGGTTTCTTTTCGTGGTCCTTGCCACGTGTGACCGAATCATTGCTGCAAATCCAGCGGGCAAGTGCCAACGTGGGTTTGGTTTCTTCTTGCGAACCATTCCTCGAATCATACGCCCGAAGTCCCGGAAGCATACCTCCACCAACAGGGAACGTTAGTCACGAAAGCTAGCTTTAGCTAGCTGAAGTTTCTCCTTGCGTAAGCAAGGTAAGGGGCTCAAATGCCGAAAGATTGATTTTTTCAATTATTTGAGCCGAAAAGATTGAAAAACATCAATTTATTAACCCCCCCCCCGGGCCTCAGGCTCGATTCCTCCCTGGTCCATCCCCCCCCCCCCCCCGGGCAGTGGCTCAGTGTTCAGCAGTCTCGGTTTGCCCGTTTTGGACTTGGTGCTACGAACTTTTACATGTTCCACCGATTCAGCTTGTTCATTTGAGACCTCAGTCTTCTCGGTAAATCACCTCGCAAGAATCTTTGCACACGCTGCATGCAGAACCCAGAGGTGCTTTAAGACAGCTTCTGACGCCTCTCGTTGCTTTCATTTTTCAAGGTTTGCCACGCATCCTACGAATCTTGCCGGGCCTCTCGTTGTACACAAGCTACCTATGAATCCACTCTGTCACCAACCCATCTCATGCAACAACTGCTAGCTTTCGTTCACCCGCTCCTCAAGTTTGAGACAGGCCTTACTGGATTTATATATATATATATATATTTATATATGTACCAGTCCCTGGGCCACGTACCCCCCCCAATGGTATGGTCCCCCCACTCCCCCGCATCATCCGTATGTTGGCGATGATGCTGGCAATGCTGGGGATGCTGTCCAGTACCGTGTGAGCCCGTGAGCCAACACCCCCGCACCTCTCGCAACATCCTACCCTAAACCAAACCACCCTGCAACCCCTCCCCAAGCCTAAATCAACCCAAACCCCAAACCCACCCGAAACCCACCGCAAAACCAACCCTGAACCAACCCTGAACCAACCCTAAACCAACCCACCAAGCCTAAACCAACTCCGAACCACACCCCAACCACCACCCCACCACCCCACCACCCCACCACCCCACCACCCCACCACCCCACCACCCCACCACCCCACCACCCCACCACCCCACCACCCCACCACCCCACCACCCCACCACCCCACCACCCCACCACCCCACCACCCCACCACCCCACCAGGGGGGGGGGGTCCACGGCCTAGAACATATATATATATATACACACACAATAGTTCTGTCTTTTGGTGGTGTGGGGAGGGGGGCAGCGAGATTTTGCAAGATCACTGATCGGCTGCATTGCCATGACTGACTTGAGGGAGCCGCCTTACAGATGTCGCAATCTGCGCCTCTTGGAAAAAAGGTATGCCAAGGCAGGTTCTGTGCAGCAAGGGCCCAGTTTTGGTCAGTGCAGCCGGTCTTCAGTGACGGGGTAAGTAAGACGGAATTTTGGTCTGCCTTATTCGCAGAGGCCACGGTCGGTTCTTTTCTGTTCATGTCCCCTCCAAGCTTGGGATGCCCCAAATCAGACATGGTGCAGCCGCTTGGGTTTGGGTAGACCAGTTTAATACCAGGTTTTGATTTCAATTGCATGCTTGAATGCCAGTTTAGGGACGAGCCGTCGTTTGCAAACCCAAGTTGGAGAATGAGGCTCTCCAGGTAACTGGACGGACCCCAAACCAAAGAGCCCTGGTCGCTGAGACCAGGCCAATCTCGGGGGAGTTGCCCGAACGCGATAGAGTCGTCTCGGAGATGGTCAAAGGCTTAGGGAAACAGGCACGCATCTGGCCCAATTCTTCTGCAAATCCCACTGAGGCTATGGCTACAGGCCTTTGATTCAAAAGGCTGCTTGGCACAGGGCGGAACATCAACACACACACACACAAACCCACACCGAAGATTCGCGACCAATGACCATCGCCTGTGCATTGGGCTCTACTCCCTTGCCCAATGGGGATGACGGCCTCTGGCCTCTGGGTGTCTGTTTGTGTCGAGGGAAGCCCGCAGGACCCCACCTTTTTCTTGGGGGGGGGGGCGCAAACCCTACTAGTTTTTGGGGGACGCTTCCCATCAAAGCATTCATGTAAGTGGAACCTCCACAGCCGAAAGGTTTCTGGCGCTCGGGATTCAATTCAATTCGCGGACGTGAGGCCTGAGGACGGCCAACGAGACCTTGGACCAGATCCAAAAGAGCCTCGAGGCCGCGAACTCGTGGAGGATGTGTTTGGGGGACTTCGGGGTGCACCCGGGTCCCTTCACTGAACTTGGTGATGGAGGGGCTCGCAAAACGACTCTGGGGTCCTTGGTTTGCCGAACCCATTCATTTTCAGGAGGTCACCATGGACCCAATGCAATCTGGGAAGCGGCCGGAGTTCACCGGAGTTTCTCTTTGAGTCCGGGTTCTTTTTTTTTTGGGGGGTATTGTTTGTTTGTTTTAAAACAAACGCAGAATCAAACATCAAGCAGAATCGGATGCTGGGGTTAGTTGGCTGATTTGTTTACCCCAAGCTACGCGAGGCCCCTTTTTACTTTGGTTTAAATGGACACCACAGGCAAGACCCACCATTTTTTGGGGGGACACATGGATGCGAAGATACTGGCCAGATGCGAAGGGCATTTTGTCCGTGAACAGGTGGCAACAAAGCCCGGGGCTTGCTGAGCCGCTTGGAAGGTCACTGTCCTCTTGAGGCCCATGAACTCTGTTTCCTTCAAGGGTTTTCTGGCAAATTGGTCCCCTCCCAAGCATAAAGTTGGTCAAAATTACCAGTCCATGGTTCATCTGGGAGGGACGTGGGGCCGAAAAGGGGGGGCTCATTAAGTTTCCCCACAAACAAGGCGCCCCCCACCCAACATGGGGAGCAGTTCATGCTCCTAGGAGAACATGTTCCTGCACAGACCCCCCCCCCAGTTGCTAAAAGGTGATGTATGGGGGAACCGGTAAGGAATGCTCTTACGGGTTTTGGGTGGAAGGGAGTAGCCTTCCAAGGGTTAGACTTCTTGTGCTCCAAAAGTTGAGTTCCGTGAAAGAAAGGACAGGAAGTTACTCCCAGGCCATAAAGGAATGGCCAAACCGCAAGGGTAGAAAATTGGTAGGAGTCCTTGTGTGTTCCCCTCACCAAAGGCCAGACACCCCGAACCGGGCGCATGGAGCCCCGAACCGGAGGCCTATCTCGAGACGAAGCGCGCCGCGTTCCCGCAGCCTGGCGCAACGAAATGGGCTGGGTAACGCGCCAAACCAAGGCCACGTGTCTCTCACCAAAAGTCGTGAGAGACACTGTTTCACTCAAGAACATGGATGGGGGTCGGGGTCACTCTTGTGGGCTTCGATCTCGCTTGCGAATGTGTGGAGTAGGTGGTTCTATTGCCCGGTTTTGGAATGTTGACCCCACATTGATCAACCCCAGTGTACAGGGGGGTGTTCTCCTCCAAAAGTGAGATTCCCCACCAAACCCAGGACTCCCCCTATGAATAAACTGTGGGTCGATTAATATGGAACATTAGGGGTTATCTTCAAGCCTTATTTTTTTGTCTGTAAACCTTTATAAGCGAACCAACAGCCAATGGGTTTTGGGCGCGCTCAAATGGCGCGAACGTATTGAAGCAGGTGATCGACCTTCGATTCGGGGGCTTGAAGCAAACGCAACCCCCTGACCCCCTGGCGGCATCGCAAATTGGTGGACTTGGTTTGAAAGTGAAGGGAACCGCCTCTACGACCTCCCGATTTTTTTCAGCAACTCCCTTCTCGCGAGCCGAGCCGCTGCTTAGGCGCTTTTACTTCCTCTCCGACGACGAGCTCTTGAGCATCATGTCGCAAACCAGGCCTTGATCGGGAGACGGGTCTGTTTGAATTGGCCGCTGTACAGGGACACCAAACGGAAACCCACTTTCTTTCTTTTTTACGGGTATCCCTATTTTGATACATGTCCAAAAGCCGGAAGACCCCCCAACAAAAAACAACAAAGACAAAAGCAAGAAACCACCGAAGCCCCAGAAAAGCAACACACCTGAATGGACATTGAGCCCAAAGTTCCACGGGTTACCCTGCTAGATGGTCATTCCTCTGGTGCATCTGGAAATGATGCTCAAATCCAAGATGGCCACAATCAACCTCCGAAGGTGAGTGAGGGACCTACCAGCCAGAGATCTGGGGACTGCGGGTATCAGCCCTCTCTGCACGACCCAAGCTCAGGGCTAGTAAACCTCCCAAAGACGCCGGAAACCCAATTCAGGCCAAACAAGCATGGCCGCATCTGCCGTGAAACTTATCGGCCCGGAAACCCTTCGGGGAGTCTTTGCGGGTTTCTAGGGCCTCTCATGTTGAGCTGCATTCATCGTGTGTGCTTGAGGTCCATTGCGGCCTGGGAAGCTGCTTGAATTCGGCAAATTTGCCCGGTTCGGTCAATTGTATGGGTGTGTCTTTTGTAGGGACCCCTAAAATGGAGGTGTTCCTTTCGGTCTTCCTTCAAAGACAGACACACCCACGCCCTGATTTGTCTACGGTCCAATTGGTCGGGACCCCGAGGCCGGAAGGGCCTAAGGTTCGTTCTTTGGTGTCCTTGAATTCTAGGAACCGGAGGAGGGGGGAGGGGGGCGGGTTCTTTTGTAACGTAATGCTAACCCCAGATTAATAAACCCCTGGTTGATTAATAGGGGGGTGTCCCCTTTTAGTGGGGATTCATCACTTTTGGAGGGAGCACCCCCCTAATAGTGGGACGGGTTTATTAATCCTGGGTCAACATTATGCCCATACCCTTTTTCGATGGGACAAGCACAGGTTTGGCAAACACCCGAGAGGAGTGGGCGCGCGCTCGCCGCGCCAAGCTTCAGGCTTCAGTTCTTGGCTGAGACAAACCAACTGGAGGCCAGCTTGACAAAATGATTAAGCACTAGACCGCGCTGTTCACGGGCAATCATGGTACTTGGGCTACGGAAGGGGCCCTTCCAGCGAGGATTGTGGATTAGGATTGGCCAACACTCCATTTGAGACTAAAGCCAGACAAGCATGCACCAGCAAAACAGAAGTGCAGCACACAGAAATGACGACAGCAAAGAGGGACACTCACGGGAGCACTGCCGACACAGAAACGCCGCACAGAAACAGACGACGAGCGGGTCGATGAAATGGGAGCTGAGTAGCCCATATTTCTGATGACAACGGAAACCAGCAGGGGAGGGGTCTTATTCAGCACCCAGAGCAGAACAGCAACACAGAGGCACCGAAAGAACCAAGTTGAGAAAAGCAGTCACAAAAAGAAGGCGGCGGCACGCGAGTCCATTTTTTGGCTTCCAGCACGAAGCTATTCGCATACCTAGCCCTTATCCAATCCAACGTCCCACAATAAGGGCATCCTGCGGGACTACCCGAACCCTCGGATTAGGCTGCCTTTGAGGTTTGACATCCAGTTATTCCAACGGGCCGGGTTGTCCTTGCTTGTTTCATGAAGCCACTTCTTTCGCCAGCCTTTGATTTTCCACGTTGGGGTGAGTCTGGTTGATGTCTCTGCCACCAAACCAAGCGGCATGATGCGGCATGAAGGCCGGAGAGTCCGCTGGGGGAAAGACGGGGCCCCGTTTTAAGCCGGGTGAAGCGTTTTTCTTTGTGAAACGCAAAAAATGCTTTTGGGAAATAAGAGTTATGTGATGATTGGGCACTTGCAACATCAACTCAGTTTTTCTTCAGTGACTCTTCTTGGCCCTTTCTTGTCTGGTGGGCTCTTACTCATGGTCACCCCCCATAAAGGGTTCCAATTCTTTTCTGTTCACTACCCGCCCAAACCCCACATTGGGCATGCATCACGTATGTAGTTGTAGATGTTTCATTATTTTTTCCCTGTGGTGGTGGACGCCCTCCTTGGATGTCCTCCTAAAAAATGGAACGCACCTGCTTTCAGGGCTTTCAATATGTCCCATATTTCATCCGTTGGCAGCTTCCAACATCACCTTTTGGCGAGTTTCCTTTGGGTAGGGTGATGTTAGATGTTGATCTGGATTCACGCAGAGGGATGGATTGTGAAGGCCAGGGTTCCCCCTTGATGTTGAACGCGCGATCCAAGAATTCTGGCTTTGCTCCAATAATTTATGTGCTTCCACCTTTGTGCGCGAATCCTGGCCCATGGTCAGGCGCCCCTACATGACTCATTTTGGTGGTTTACACAGCACCTGTTTAAGTTAAGGTTAGTTCAGGTCAGTTTCTTTTGTTATTGAACCCAGATTGTTGTGGACAGTTCGAATTTCAGATTGCCGCCTTCTGTGATTCTTCAAGGTGTTGCCACAGAAAGGGACCATCTCCCAAGCACCATGTCCAGAATGAAGGGAAGTGGCTTCGCGCCCCAGAGTGTTTTAGCCTGCCAACCGCATGTTCTTCTTGAAGTGGGGGGTATGTAGGATGAAGGGGCTCATGGCGGGTTTGCAATCCTTAAGGAGAAGGCAGGGCCCAGGCCCCGGTCAAGCCGGGGCTCCGTTCAAATCAAGCCAACACAAAGGCCGGGTAACTTGACCAGTGAGCGAAAAAAGGGGGAACATCCATGAACGTGGTTTTATCCGGTTTCAACTTTCAACACCAGACAAAGGCTTGGTTTTTCGCCACCAGCGCCAGAAGCAAACACCCGCTGGTTCGCCCGGCGATTTCAGGCCGCGGAGATGGCGCCGCCGCAGGCGCCTCCGAAGGCGACGCCGATTCGGCGCTGGGAGCAGTGCCTCAGCCAGAGCAAGGGCTTCTTGGCGGCGATCTGCTTGGATCTCTCACCTCTTTTCAGGTACTTGGTTGGTGGTTTGTATTGATGGTTTGCTTTTGGATTTGAACCCCGGGTTCTTGTAGAGGGTTAACCCCTCAACGACTAAACCACCAATCCAAACCACTAATTCGGGAGAAGCTAATCTTTAGCTCTTTGGGGGGAAAAGGTGTTGAAGTAAGACAAAGAAGCCATCCAAGGTAAGAAGAAAAACACCCCTCTTCCCCACTTGGCCGCACAACCGGTTTTCTGTTTTCTTCTCAAATTCTTCTCGCCCCAACCCCACCTTTTTGAAGCTTGAACCGTTGTGTTTTCTCATTTTGCCTCTTCCAGTTTTTTCCAGGTTGAACAAGGCTCTTCTCACCTTTTTGGGTGGAAGAAGCCGCTTTTGTTATCTCCAAACCCAATCATTCGCCCGTGTTTTGTGGTGAATGTAGCACATGAGGCGGTGGTTTCTCCCCGCCACGGCTCGCCACGGCGAGCCACGGCTCGCCACGGCTCGCTACCGGCGCAGGCTTGCAGCGGGACCTGGTGGCCTGCAGCCAGGCGATGCGGCACTGCCGCCGCTGGCCCCAGGCCTTCGCCGGGGCCACGGGGCCGCGGGGCCGCGGGGCCACGGGGCCACGGGGCCATGCTGACCGGGGCCCATGGCACGTAGCGGGGGGGGGCCGGAGGGAGGGAGGGAGGGAGGGGTGCCAAGAGGAAGATGATGGCAGGGGGGCCCTAGAGGACAAAATTCCGTTTAAGAAAAGGCGATTTTCCTTCTGTCAGTGGAAGGGATGGGAAGTTGAGTTGCTGTTTCTTTTTGGGCTCGGGAGTGTCGGGGTGGTGGCTTCAAGACGACATGGATTGGCCACCCTTAGTTGGCTGTTGGGAGTGGCTGGGACTTGGATTTTTTGTGGGTAAGTGGGAAACCCAGAACACCACCAAACCACGGGGCTCCAAGCCACCAATTGGAGGGAAGCTGAAAACTTCCAATTGTTTAAGCTCACTTGTCCAAAGCGAATCAACTTGACTTCACTTTTCGGTTTTCCCATTTTGGTTACCATTTTAGAGGCGCCAAAAGGTTAACTTGTTATTTCCAGGTCCTTTGTGCGAGTGAGTTCAGAATATGTTTTATTTGCCGCTGGGGAAGCTCGCAGGTTCAATGAGCCAAGAAGGTGATGCTTTTAAACCCAGAGGACCAACCAACAAAGCTGGAGTCACTCCCGGAGTTTCTGGGCTTGATACTTTGTGGGAGGATTGATTGTTTTTCGCAAATCCACTCAGGAAGTGAGTGGATGCTTTTAACATGACCTGGACCAACAGCGAAAACCAGGGTGTCCGGGTCCACCTCTCGGGAGATACCCCCATGGCTGTTCATTTGGCGAGGACATGGGAGGCCTACTCAATATCCCTCATTTTCTTTCAAGTAGAGGGGCCTGCCCAATTGAACCAACTGCAAGTTGCACATCGTCCCTGGCTCCTGTCCGAACTAAGCCCTGTGCACTTTCTGGTTTCCTCCAAGGACTGAAGGCCGGAGGCTAGGGTCTGAGCGTCAGAGAGGTTGCTGAAGATGGACTGATTCAGCTCATTTCATCAAGGGTGTTTCCAGGTATATGGGCGTGAGGTATGGATGCTTACATATCACCAGCACAAGCTTGTCAAGCAGTATGTGTAAACCGGAAATCGCAATGGCCAGGCGGTGTCTCTCCTGGGGCTTCTGCCAGCCTGGAGCTTGCAGAAGGACGCCGATCCGGTTCATCTGTTTGCCTCACAAAAAAGGGAAAAACAAATAAAAAAACGCAGCCGTGGGCCGAACTTGAGCTGGGTGCGAAGTCGTTGTTTTCTTTTGGAGGATGCTCGTGTTGTTGTCTTTTGTTAGGAGGGGGGAGGGCAGCTGTTATGTTTACAGGGAAGCTCTACGCGTTCCCCATTTTCCCTTTTGGGAAAACCACGAGATCCAAAGCTCGGGATTTCTTCGGTCCAGTTGCAAGGAAACGGTGATTTGAGTTGTTCAAAGCCTGCTGGCTTTGAAGGACAACGGCAGTGACCGCAATGACTGACGGCCATGCCTGGTACCTTTTTCCCTAATTTGCAGTGGAAGTCGACAAGGGGCCATTTCAAGGGCATGGTAGTCGTCCAAGACCCTGTCCACTTCCATGATGGTTGGAAGGGCAAACGTCGTGTGTTCATGGCAACGAAATGTGGGCTTCCAAGTCGTACTTTTGAGGTATGTACCTTTGAGGTACCCCCAAATTCTCTGCCATTTTTGGGCCCAGTTGGCCCATTTGGTCCATTTGAACCTGCTTCAAGCTAACCCAAGGCTGGAACCAAAGCCCACCCGGAGCAGGTTCGAGATTTGCAGCACCATTGAAAGAGGCCTTGTCGGGACCCCTATATCGTTCTCTTGCCTAAGAATATATTTTATTATTTTCCCCTGTTGGTTTTCACGAGAATCTATCACTCACTACTGGAAGTATGTTTTTTTTTTCAGAGGACTTGAGCAAATGGAAGGATCCGGGTCAGCATTGATCTCATGTTTGTTACCTTCCACCACCGTTTTTGAGCAAGCCTTGTCCTTTCCGCTCAAGCCACGTGAGTCAAGTCTCGCGTGAGGGGCTTTCAGGAGGGCATCGAACTCCTTGGTGGGCTCGGGTTTGTCGGGGTGATGGTTTCTCGCAGGTAACCTTAGTTGGCGGTTTAGATTTGTGGTTTGGATTTGGATTTGCAGTTCCTGGTTCTTCTAGGTACATGGGAAACCTCCGGCAAGCCAGAGGCGTCAGAAGGAAGCTTCACGGATGTCCCGGGGCTTCCGACTTGAACGTCGACCCCTTAGCCATGACGCGAGAGATTTTTCTTATTGGGGTGGCATCCCTGTTGCTGGTGTCATTTGGGTGTGGGGTTCCCTTTCAACAGACCGAAAAGCGTTTTCCTCAAGAGACCTCACACAATAACCCAAAACTTGGGTTTCCTCAGGATTGCCCTAGCACAAAACTCCAAACACACCCTCCTTGGATTTTCCACACTTGTTTCCCTTCCATTTGGTTTCGCTTCCAAGCACCCCCCAAAAGGGTTTCCTTAGGAAGGACCCCCCCAACACAATAATTCGGGGATTCATGTCCAACCGCGTTTGAGGTTGATCCTTATTAAAATTCATAGCCATCTGGGTCTTTTTTTGGGGGGACCCCCCAAACAAATATATAAGAATACAGTGGTGGTCCTTTTGGTTTTTTGCTTTAAAACCAACCAAATGGGCTTCCCCACCCAGCAACATTTTAGGGATCATTTGGGCATCATAATTCGCGGATCCATGTCCCCCTGTGCTTTCTTTGATGGATCCCAAAATTCAAGCTCCATAGCCATTTTCTAGGGGTTGTTTCTTGTTTCCCCCATTCTTTTCAACCATCGCTCTTTCCAAAAACCAGCTATTTTCCCTGGGCTTCCGGAGGTTTCTAGAAAGGATCCCTGGGTTCAGAATGGAACTGGAAGGTACCAAATCCCCGGCCATTTTCGGATTCTCCAGGACCCCATGAGCTACAGCTGCGGCTTGCGCAGACTCGCCTGGCCACGCGGCCTGGTGCTGCTCGAACGCCTCCGTGCGGATGGCCTGCAGGAGACGGGCCGACAAACGGTGGCCGAACGGCCGAACGACGGGAAGATGATGCCAGAAAGGGCCCCTCATTTTCGGATCATGGGTTGGTTTGCGTTTTCTTGGGTCTGGAAAAGACAAAGAGGTTTGTGGCATGTAACAAAGGGGGAGACTGCCTGGGGCTTTCACCTTCAAACCCCCCACCACCTGAGGATCCAACCAACAAGGAAGCCACAAAGGGATGGTTCAACTTGGGGTCTTTCCCGCCTTCGCTTGCCTGACTTCTGACGAGGTAAACCATTGTAAATTCCCAGATTGTTGGCAGGGACTAGCTGTAGATGACATCCAAGTTGCCGGAATCATTCAGTCAATCACAGGACAACCACGAGTTGCGAGTATTAAACAGGCGGATGGATAGGGCCTGCCCCACTAAAATGAGACCCCGGTGAAGGAAACCATCGGGGTGACTTTTTCTTGAGTTCATTGAGTA